CGAATACCATGGCGAAGGTCGGGGGTTCACGATTTCAAACAGGTGAGCTAGCATGTACTTACGCGCTCGTGGAGCCGCGTGTACACGCCTCGTTGTCACAGGTGCAACGAGGCGTGTCGTTTCTGCACGCTTCCTACCTGTCGTATTTGCGATGAAGATATGTATATGTATATATACAGTGCATTGTGTCTGTAATCAATCAGTGGAAAATTTTCTACGAATGAGAAAAAAAAAATATTGCATTGAAAATCGATTAAATATTAATTAACCAATGGCCCTCGGTGCGATTATTTGTATGGAAAAATCATTCGCTAGAGAAATCCTTATAAACGCGGCTGAATGATTCTGAATCATTCTAAATAGCATTCTCGAAGGTATAAATTAACTGGCTGTATCTTGAAAGTCTCTTTCCATGAATAACTAAACGTACAATCACGTAATAGCCAGACAACTAAGGACATCAATGATTACACGTTGCTGTATCTCAACTTAACGTACTATCAATTTTCCATCGTGAAATGATTATTAAACCGTCTGCTATCGGTGATATATTAAACCTTCTCTATTTTTTATCCAACCTGTGTTTTGAATAAAAACAAACGGAAAATGATTATTAGAAAAGTATTAAAAATCTTGAATGATATTTCTTCTTTGATTCCGGGCAAATTAAAAGCACAACCGGAAGGTTGGTCTCAAGGTTTCTGTTATAGGCAAAGACGCGAATCCTCTGTTCACCGGGTGAACGTTAATAAAATTAGTCAACCCACGTCAACGAAATTACGTAACAACGATGGTCGTGGCGCGTTCGAGGGTAAGAAGGTCGTTAATTACCAGAAAGATTCGTGCTGACCTTTACGCATGGATTTCAATTGTTTCCAAAGAGGAGATCGTTGTACCAACGACTGTTTTCTGGGAATGGAAAGGAACCGTGTTCTACCGAGTTCCAAGACCGAACGGAAGCGTTTCCGACACTTTCATGGACGAGATTCTAAAATGAAACGCTGTAAATTCAGCATTAATTTCTTACAAGGGACGTTACCCAATCGACACACGCCGATTTTGATGCCCCTTGAGTATGATATAGAACTGAAAAAAATACTTGACAGATATTTTTTTTTATCGGCAATCATCGTCCATGCTGAAGGGGTGAAAAAAATAATTATTTTTCAATATATTTTTTAAACAAATAAATTGATCAAAAATGTGGCTACATAGAAAAATTTGCACACAAATTCCATTTTGAATTTTTCGCCTACACCTAATAGTTCCTGAGATATTCAAGAAAATATATTTTGCAACCTCAACTTTGAGAGTTATTTTCACCCCTTCGGCATGGACGATTGCCGATAAAAAAAAATACGTGTCATTTTTTTGAGTTCTATATCATAGTCAAAGTGCATCAAAATCGGCGTGTGTCGATTGGATAATGTCCCTTGTTAGATACGCTGCTTTTAAAATAGCTATTAGAATATCAATCTACTGTATAATTACGCTTACGCACCTGTTCGTTAATTAACATATCTACCACTGATAAATTTACGACTGATCATTTTTCATCCAGTCGGAATTGTACACCTTCGGAGTGCATCAAGAATCGAAAGGTCGTGACAACAGGGATCTCGTGTCCGATAAGAGAAGACAACCGGATGTCTGGTAGATATACAGATAAATCGTGTCGGGATAAGCGAAGAAGACGAATGTAACGAGTATTGTGTAAGCTTTCCATGATCCAGGTAAAAATAGCCGGATCATGTTAAAGAGACGACCATTCAGAAGAGAAGGGAATGGAATGAAATTAAAAAAATTTATCCATCGATCGTAAGACGCATGCGGTGCGTCGTCTATCTTAAACGTTTTAACGCAACGATCTGATCGATGGCTTTTCTTTCTCACCATGCTGGTACCGATACGTTATGGGCATGATGATGGATGCGCATCCAGTATCCCCTCGCATCACGTACGAGAATTTTCTGCACGTGTCACGGTGCAAGACGTGATCTTCTTACCCATGACACGCCCAGCAAACCGACCACCATAAACAAACCGTGTACCTGTGTGCACACGTGGTACGATCCGAGATCTGCATCGCGATGCATTCTTCGATGCGCGGTCATATTTCGTTGTCAGAGAATCGAGATTACGATCTGTTAATTTTTCTTCTTTTTTTCTGATTTACTCAGGTAATTTCTTACCTAAAGACACGGTTGAATCGCTTATTAACACCAGGATCGTTCCGTTACGATTGCGTATGCCGATGCATCCACGTAATAGATACATCTAATCGGTCACTAGCCACGTCTGACAACGTGACTGCAATGAACGATCGCTTCCTGCATCGCTGCACTCTCTCTTTCCACCGCGATTTCGATTGCATCCAGTTTGATTTCATCTTCTCTCAGAATAAAAGAAAATGAATGCTGATTAATTGTATATTTTTTCCAAAAAATGTATAATAATTTTGATTCGTCCGTTTCGTTCGATATCCAACGATAAAACGCATCAGCGAACAACGCCCACGCAAACTAATCTAAACCGCAACCACCGGGGCAGAGGTGTGCAAGTACGTGTACCGTGCGATTCGTATAGAAGTGCAGCGACGGAGGCTGCACTTCACGGCTGGTTCGCATCGGTGCCAAGGTTGCGATCGTGTGCTGGTGCGTGGATTAACCGAACCAGCACGAACCGCTCCGACAGTCTCGCGTGATACTCTTATCAAACGCTGCTGCACGTGTATGTGCATTACGTACTGCGCACGGTGCGCGTGGATCAGCGGTCTAGGCTAAACGAATGAAACCAGAAGAAAAAAAAAAAAGAACAGGGAGTTGCAATAAAATGTTCAGCACTGCATTAATGAACGAATCACAGGAAATGACTATGGAATAAAGATTAAACCATGAAATTAAATTGGAAAGTCTAAATATGCACAGGTGACGAGTATTTAATTAGGAACGATTTTAATCATTTCGAGGGGAAAAAAATTGTAAAAAATGTGTAAAGCTGGAAATGCGTTATGCGGCTTGTTGGCTGGTAATAGGGACCACGCGATAACGCTCGAAATGCCTCATAAATCGTGACAGGGGCGTAGATAAGGAAGCGCATGGCGTGACCTTCTCGCGGCTAGCGTTTGCGGGCAGATGTAAGGACGCATTTAAAGTCGCGTCTGATAACGCGATCGCTTGCTAGACGTCTGCGCGCGCAACAATTTTTCGCTCGCGAATTGCACCATTCAGGTTTCAATAGCCGACCTTCACCCTAAGCGACGCCGTTTAACGTCGTGCGTGCGCGCGCACCCGCGCATGCGCCTAAACGTTTTCCGCCACGGGTAACGCAACGGGTATGTATATCGGAATTAACGTGACTCACTTCGCGTTTTAGATATCGATGCCCCCTGAGATAGATAAAGTCGACGGTGAAACAGTTTTTTTAAAAATACTAATTACCGGGAAGCCTTTCATTATTATAGTAATTAATTCTTTTTATTTCTATTTAACTACTGATAACTAGAGTTTGCAAAAATTAATATTATCACTGAAGAAATTAAACAGACTAAGAGTTTCTTTGACCCCATTCGCAAAAGCTACTTAAGTATAGGGTTTAATTTAACCTAACCTTCCTGTTACCCTATTAATTCATCCCAATGCACTTGCAATGTATTTCTATATTAGATCATCTAACGTTTAAGAAAAATAATCGTAACGGTCCATTAAACAATTATTATGAAATTGTAAACTCTGTAATCTGTGTAAACAGAATCTGTTGTAATGCAAGGATTAAAATGAAAAATTGCACTGTCGCGTTTGGAAACAAGGCGAGCATTGTGAAATAGAATTGTAACAGAGATAATTTCGAGAACCGTGAAGAGATAAGAGCGAGCCTTGAGAATAGTGCTAAACGACCGTCTACCACCATCGTGCTAATTATTCGTGTTTCACAGTCGGCGTCGTTTAGGTACCATTAGAACCTCGAAATTTGCAGGATGACACCTGTTTCAGGTGACATCAATTTTAAGGGGCTATACTAATGTAACACTTTTGAAAAATCGATTTTCTTTTTGCATTCTTTGAAAGTCTATACTCTCTTGAATATCATATTAAAATTTTAAGGTCGAATCTCAAATTGTTTAAGAATGGCAGCGTTCTAAAGAATAACTGCGCTTTGAGAAAACGGTATTTCTCAAATTTGCTACAGCTCTAACTCGAACACAAATTATTGCATCGACTCGAAACTTTTTTCAGCGTGTTCAGTACATGTTTTGTCATACCATCAACTAGGATTTTTTTGATTGGATGAAAAATGTCAATTTGGCATTAAAAAAACTACTATTTTTTTAGGCTAAATTCCAAACTTTTCTTCAAAACTTCGCCATTTTGTCAGATTTTGATATTTTTCAAACATCCTAGTTCATGGTACGTAGAATACCTTCTAGTTTAACAGCTTTTTTGTTATTTTTCATTTCAAGCACTCAGGCGGCGGCAATCACTACAGCAGTGGAGCAACTTTTTTTTGGAGCCCTGGGAGATAGCGCATAAGTCGCTTGTTTTTTATTATCTTTGTACCAAAAAATTATTATATATATATGATTTGTAACTAAATACATCCCTGAAGTTTAAAGACATTGGATGTAACATTTCTTTAAAAAAAAAATTCCCGAGAATCACCTAATTTTAGAGCGGTCACACTGGTATAGCCCCTTAATCGCGCATAAAATGAAAAAGAATCTAAAATTAAATTTCAATTGTCGATTGTCCAACATCATCGTCCGAAGGTTGAAAATTTGTTTCTTTTACAATTACATAAATATTCTTTTTACGTCGCTATGCGCGTTTGTAAAAAACTTTCAAAGTGCGATGTCGCTCGTTATCTTGCTCGTATAATTCTCGTGAAACGTGCGTAAACTAACGACAAAAGAATGCCGGTGACCGGCGATTCTGTGGAAGAACTTGCACAAAGGAAGCACAGTCTCTTCCCTTTTTTTCGCGGGAAAATGAAAATATACATACAGGTGTTGCCGCGGGACCAATGCTGGGCCTGAGTCCCTTGGATGATGGCCGTCACCGACGTCATCGGTCTCTCCTTCTTCATCATCTTGCCCGTCTTGATCTTCCTGCTTTCACTCGTCACTTTTACTTCCTTTCCTTCGACACTCGGGTCGTAACAGTTAGATATTCAAACAAAACACGCGCGATACCCTGTTAGCGTCATTTCGAAACACGAGAAATTGATCTTCCGCCTCCTGATTCCCTTAAAGATCAACCTTCCCTCTTTTGGTATCAATTTGGTTTCGTTCACTGCACTGCTCTTTGGTTCTATCAAACGGTCGATTCTCGATCGCTCTACGAGCACGAAGAGAAAATAATTTTCAATCAACCCTCGGCTGGTGGATGTTGGAAAAATTTTTTGCCATCCGCTATACCAAGGGTTAATTTAGAATACAATGAAACGATTTGAAAATTTTTCGAACGCGAAAAATTATTCACCGCCTATCCGTTCCTCGTTGTTCGCTCTGTTCCCTATTATTTTTATCCCTATTATTTTATCCCTATTAATACATCATCGTATTAGTGCGATGTAGATAGGGTTTCCATCGGATTGACTAATGGATTAGCAACGTTATCCATATATTACCATAGCCAAAGAAGGAATTCTATCTTTTACTTACTCGACGAGAAATTCGTCATGGTAGCAAAAAGCAAATGATGGAAATCTGTAAAGAATCACGCGGTTTCCAAGAGCAATGGCCATCGATGCAACACTTTTGTTAAAATATATAGTTGCACCGTTTAACGAGAATTCCTGCAGTGGTTACGGTACGCCGACCTTGACCACAACGTATATGTAGGCAGAAAATGTGTTGCGCCTCCATCGCGATGGTGACAATCATCGGCGGAGAGAAAACAATGCTTACGTAACGCGCGAGCAATTATGCAAAATGCAAGTATGCCTGTCCACGTGCATGCGCTAGGCTCCGATGCATCTCCTATTCTTCTTGCGTCGCGTATATCCGCTCGTAACATCGCGAACGATAATACTAGCCCGAGCGAAACCCGACTCTATACCGTTACGTAAACCCTTCGAACAAAGGGGCAAGAGAAACACGGTTGAAGGACTGGCATAACAACAAGCCTCTATCTCTCCCCCCTTTCACCCTTGTACTTGCTGGTAGCCTTTCGATCGATTTTTCGCCGGCGATCGATCATCCTGCTGAACGGGGGAGGAAACCGGAGGACGCATTTCTAATGGCACTCCGCTTGCGTCGGGGTTGGAGTTCAAGGTTACCGCCGAAGAGGCTACGTCACACCCTGTCTACCGGGAAAGAGGAATCGATACGAACCGGGTGTTCTGGAATTCTGTAGCAGATAAGAAACGTAATTTGCAGTTTCTGTTTTAACACCGTTGATTGCCAGGCAAACGCTATTGAAAATTTCATTAGATAATATTTGTATTTTTAAAAAATTTTATTTATTACTTTCAGAATATTTTGTTATTTCGGTAAATGTTCGGAAGTGTCATTATGGCAGCGTACCAATAAAAACAATGTAAATAAATATTTTTGAACTTTTTTTCAAGATTTCTAAAAGAAATATTCTGTTCTTTTAAAATACAATAGACATACAAACTATTTTGACAATTCATTATAAAATTGCTGAATAGCATCGAAGATGGCATTGCACGCGTTCAATGTGCGCGGTGAAAACTCGACGAAATGGAAAATCGGCAATATAACCAGTCATGTGGTAATCACGTCGTCCGAATTTTGGGATATTACCACGACAATTTCAGATGTAAACAAAAAACAAAACATCACCCACGAGTTGAACAGTAACGTATTAAATTCGTTTTGCTGACTGGGGGACTGTGCCCCCAGACCCCCCCTAATAATTACACTAACTAATACCGATACCCATTTTTAATATAAGGAAATAATAAACACAATTTACAAAGTAACATTTATTGGTATTAGTTAGTGTAATTATTAGGGGGTGTCTGGGGGCACAGCCCCCCAGTCAGCAAAACGAATTGAATATGTTACTGTTCAACTCGTGGGGAATAAAAAAAAATCTTTAAAAAAATATTTATTGACATTGTTTTTGTTGATGCGCTGCCATAATAATATTAAGTATAATGTTTTTTGGTTGGATTGCAGTTTCTCGGGTAATTGATCTCGACTGTTTTATCGGATAAATCAGAGTCGGAGAAGACGATAGGAAGTGTCCCGAGGTCGATATCACGTGGCGTTACAAAGTTATGGCCATTTTAAGAAATCACAATTTTTCCAAAATTTTCCGATAATTTCGAATCCAAAAAATAACCTAACCTAACCCAACCCAACCCAACTTATCAGCTAGAATAGCTAGCCTTTGAATTAGCTAGTTCTCCAAATTGTGATTTTCGACCTCCGACCTTGATTTATCCGATAAAATAATCGAGATCAATTACCCGGGAAACTGCAATCTAACCTGTTTTTTAACTGTAAGAAAGCACACAAAAAGAAATCAGCTCGATTCTGACAGGAGTGACACTTCCGAACATATACCGTTATTTCCAATAGCTAATAAAAATTTTCTAATTAAATAACCAAATTCCCAATAATATAGATAATGGCTTTCTTTGGCAATTCAAGTGTCAGCCAAATATGGGTGACATGACATTCAACGTGTTAAGGGAGGTCCACCCTCTGGCTACCCCGACGAGTTCAAAGTGTTCAATTGAACCGAATATAATTTTCGTTTCAAGAAACTTTACAGAGAATCCTGAACTCTGTCGATGCATAATTCCCGACGCGAAGGGTAGGGAACTGTAGAAGAGCAAAACCTAAAAACATGTTTACAAGCCTCCGCGACGAAAGAGGAACCGGGCGTTTGTATGCATTTGAAAAAAGGAAGAAAGAAAAAAGGAGTCGCCCGTTGCATGTGGTGCAGTAGTACGTCGGTGTGGAGGTCAGACGGGACCTTAGGTACTGCGTAGAAGATCCAAGAGAGAAGGGTGAGACCGAACTGCGCACTTTCGCAGTTAGGGGACGATGATTCACGGACGCGCGTAGCCAATGTACCCGATGCGCATAAATATGCAAAACAATTATATTTATTACATTCTTCGTTTCATAACCCGTCTTATTTTCAGTGGACGCTCAACGAAAATAACTCCGATCGAAAATATAAATTTCGATATACGAGGCACGTCGCAACGGGTTCTTTCAACCGAAGATAAATCGCTCCTGTTATGCGTTTTCTTGATTCCGAAACGAAGAGTTCTTTTTAAACGATCATCGAATTATGTAATGAAAATAAACCTTTCGTTAGAAATTTTCTACCTTGTGTAATTTTCAAAATTATGATAAAATGAAATAAGAAACTCGAATGCACTTTAAGTGCAACGAATAATGCATCAGACGATAATTGATCGAAATACACTCGAGATCACTCGAAACAGAGAATTTTGATGGCAAAGAGTTTGCTTTGGCACGTGCGATTCGACGGGCATTATAATGGTAACGTGCTGCTTGAGAAATGACCGCAACAGAAGTCACGTTTGATTACGACACCGTGGCAATATACTTTGCACGATCGATAATGTATATGGCATCCACCGACACTTTTAGCGTCGTCCACTTGGTCTTTGGCACCGAAAAGACAATGCAAAACATTCCTGACGTCATCCGAGATGCACCGCGAACTTCGTTTTCAATCGATTGCAATGGAAAAACGCGGCAGGTTACCGAAACGTTCGATTTCGTGCTTGGGTAATTGAAAATAAATCCCTTAAAAGAATTTCATCATTTGGTGATGGTAAAAGTGTGGTGAAAGTTACACACAATGAAGAAGCACGGTGCGACGCGTGCAACATTCCTTCTTTACTAATCCACGAAGGTCGTGTTACATTGTTACGCAAAAGAAACGAATGCAGTCGGACGCAATAACTGCAAGTAGTAACGCCATGCGTTTTACTCGTATGGCTACCGCACACCACAATGGGTCCAGCTTATCTAGAATATTAACAGCAAATATTGGTTATCGCTTTTCGAGCTGCACAGAGGAGATAAAAAACACATGCCAAGTATAATCCTTCAATTTTCAGCTCGGACACTTTTTCACTTTTATTTTGTAAATTTCAGAGAACCGTCTGACTTATGATTGACGCGCCTCCCTTTATTTAAGGGAGAATATATCTAACTCCTGAAAATTATTTATTAAACCACCCTTAACCCACGGAACCGAATTTTTAGCTGGTAGAGAAGATACGATAATCTATTCTTCTCCGGACATTTCGGATTCCAAAAGCAAATCCTTTCCCCGTGTTGCACGTGAACGGCATACAATTCAGGATTTTTGATGGTGCAGTGCGGCCGAGCGGGAACCGGAGTGAACGCGTTTCGCGAACTCGGTATCCTTTTATTTCCCACCTTCCTATCGACGCGGAAATTTCCTACACTCTCGATTTTACATCTACCACGAGATTATGATGTTTCCACAGGCGGTTACGAATTTCCTCGAAGCCCGCAGGATTCTAGCAGCGAACGACGGAGATACGGATAACGCACGCGACTAGGAACACGTTTCTGGTCACGAGGCAGAGTTCGCACACACGTGCCGGGAATCGAGCACGCGGGCGCCAGGAACGGTTGGCCGTCGGGCCGAATAAAAGTTGGTAGAAAGAGGAGAAAGTGATTTAGGCGTGATACCTTCGCGCGCGTACACGTCGAACCGACTGACTGACTCAATGACTGACTGACTGACTGACTGACTAAGTTGGAGATGCACGGCGCTAAAGGCAACTGAGTGCCAGCCGGCCGGTCTGGCTCGTTGCATGTGAGCGTGCAGCCGGTAGAGGAGCGAAGTGGGGAGAGGGAGGATAGAGGAAGGGTGGAAGAGGAGAGAGGCAGAGGCACGGAAGAGAGGGACCGATAGAGGATCCAAGAGAGGAGGTGAAGGACGAAGAGGAGGCGATGGAGGACGAAAAGGTGGTGGTGAATCGAGAAGGGGGGGAGGAGGGGGGGGAAACGCAGAGACTCGAGAACGAGTGCAACCGAGTCCCTATCCCGATGGGTGACGTTCCGTCTCTACTTGCACTTTTCTTCGCGGAAACAATGTCGGGCAACGATGTCTAATACTACTTATCTAGTAGTTAGAGAAATTTTAATCAGGCACAGATTTCATTGAAGGCTCGCGATTTTATTTTTATTTATTAATTTAGAGCGATTATTGCAATGGCACCCTTGAATGCATTTCGAGTGCATTTTAAAAACTTCGTTTTTTGCGAGTTTGGTTCGTGAAGGAGGGGAAGAGAGGAGAGACTAAGAACGAGAGAGAAAGGCAGAAGATAATATAAGGAGAAGAGGAAAGAAGAGAAGAGAGAAACGTAGATAGAGCTTGCGCCATCATTGTCGAGCTTAGGAGTCAAGTTCTAGTGCACGGCCGAAACGGGAGAATCGACCTCCCCTCTTTCCGTCCCCTCCACGAGCACGCGGTGGCTCGTCCAGTGGTGCATGGGTGGGGGAAATGATCGAAAGGGAAGGGGAACGAGAATGCTTTGCAATGTCGAGCGTGCGCGGCGGCGAGCCTTGCATGGGATTCTACCAGGTGACCGAAATATACATATCTCGGCTAAAATAAAATTACAAAAATTAAAAAAAAAAAAAAATATTGCTAAATCGAAATCCCAGGACTATACGATGCGGGATTATAGTCGCAACTACCTGAAAACTATCAAGTATCTAACTCTTTCTTTGTTAAACCACGCTAGGAAAAGAATATCCTTGCAACAGCCTTTCGTGGAACAGAGGACGTCCACTAGCAGGAGCAGTCTCCCCTGCCGCACCTGTTCCGATATCTCCTCGATTTACTAGCTACGACACATGTACACGCAACGAACTAGACACACCCCGCTGTTGTTCTCAGTCTATCGAGGAAGCATTGTAGTGAAGGAAGATCGCTTTACTGAACCCTGATGCATAATCGCTGGGTATACTTCCGAAAGGCCCCCCCATCCTAGAACAACCAAACTTCGGATTTATAGTAATTGAGGGACGAGAAATCGAATGAGACCATTTTCAGAAATGGCAAATAAACCGTTCTCGAGATATACAGGGTATTCCAAAAGTGTGGGAGCCCCCTATTATCTCGATAAGAACGCATTTCCACGGAAAATCACTAAAACAAAAGTTGTAGTGATCTTGTAGTGACCTTGAACTTAACCTTGCAGGTTATTTGTAGGTCAAATAGAATTTTTAAAAAGTCATTGTTTCCATTTACCCCGGGAGAAATTAGTTAGGTAGGTTAGGTTAGGTTTGGGTTAGGTTTGGTTAGGGTTAGGGTTAGGTTAGTCATTTTCCGTGGAAATGAGTTCTTATCGAGATAACAAGGGGATCCCACACTTTTAGAATACCCTGTATATCTCGAGAACAGTTTATTTGCCAGTTCTGAAAATGGTCTCATTCGATTTCTCGTCCCTCAATTACTATAAATCCAAAGTTTGGTTGTCCGGGGGGGGGGCCTTTCGGAAGTTTCCCCTAATGGCTATAGAGTTCTAGGTTGCGTAGGGCCTAAGTACCGTGCGTCGCCGACTCTCCGGACGGCGCAACAAAGTGCAAAGAGTCCAGTTTGATAGTCTCAGCTATCAAAGTTGCAGTTTCCTCTATGAAATAACTTTCGTATAAAACAACGTGTATCAGTTAAAGCAGACATACTGTATATAAACCAAGATCGTCGCGTGTCTGGATTCGTTGCAACAACTCGTTCAAGCTCAACTCTTTGTGTGGCTGTGTGCGCGCGCAGAAACGGCGATCGCGTATAAGTGGTCGTCAAGGTTAGCCACCTACTCGCTATCGTGGGCTCGTGCACACTCTCTCGGATGCATTTGAGTCGTCTTGCCAGCTTTGAAGTTTATTATGCGCTCGCTGAGAATCGAGGAAACGAATCTCTTCTGCAGGCTGGCTCGCGTTTCAGCATTTTCAGTCCAACGAAAAATGTACACGCCCGTCAGTTTTGATTTATAAAATTATACTTACAAGGGACCTTTGAGTATGATATAGAACTGAAAAAAATATTTGACACGTATTTTTTTTTATCGCCAATCGTCCATTCTGAAGGGGCGAAAAAAATAGATTATTTTTCAATATATTTTTTAAACAAATAAATTTATCAAAACGGTGGCTACATAGAAAAATTTGCTGTTCAAAAACACACGAATTCCATTTTGAATTTTTCGCCTACACCTAATAGTTCCAGAGATATTCAAGAAAATATGTTTTGCAACCCCAACTTGAGGGCTATTTTCACCGCAAAAAAAAATACCTGTCAAATATTTTTTTCAGTTCTATATCTTACTTAAAGGGCATCAAAATCGGGATGTGTCGATTGGGTAATGTCCCCTGTTAGTCTCCGTTCGCAATGTTGACGATTGAAATTCAATGACCGCCACTGTCTAAGATTAGGCAATATCCTTTAGCACCGTGCGTCGCCGACTCCACGGACGCATCCTTGGTACCTATAGCGAAGCATAGCGCGAGGATCCTTGCTCGTTTTTGCGAACAGGTGAGTAGAACGAGAAAAGGTTAACAGGACTCGGCGATATTCCGTTTACATTCTTCGTTGGAACTGGTTTCTCCCTCGACGGGGATGGTCCTTTGGACCCTAGGAAGATTGCCAAACACCAGAGAAGAATCAACGACATTAAAATTCGCACGCCTATGGAGACGATATACCATAAATAATAACGAATTATAATTTTCCGTATATTTCAAAAACAAATTTCTTTTCCTCTACAGAAAGAATATATCGGTTGCAACGGAAGCGTTATAAATATATCTGTTCCCGGGTATCTCATCAATCACGAGGGAACGACATGGAAGATATAAATTATAGGATTTCAGAGAAACGAAATTCGCATCATTTCAGAGCTGGTCGAGCATAAACGTCGCCCCGTTTTCAATAATTATGATTTATACCAGAATTCAAATGAACGTATGAAATAAAAAGCAGACGGAAGATCGAGAATTTCGTAGGCTGATCAAGAATGCGATTCAAGCGCCTCTATATGCAAACAAATGTTACATTGAATACGCGGAAGGGAACAGAGAGACAGTAATAACATCCGTTCGATTAAGATGCGACGGAAGCGTTGTTTGAATACGAAGGAAGCCGGGGCTGAGAGAAAGAAATGGCTCCCACCGAAAGAGAAAAAGAAACGGAAGAGTGCAGGAGAGAAGAAAGCAGCAACCGCGGTGCAGCTGTTTCGGTTAGGCCCGGTTGCACAATGCACAAAGTTCGGGTTCTAATTCTAAAGCCGAGTACCAATCAGCCGTTGCATTGTTCACCAATGAAGAGGCTGGAAATTTTTCGGGGTTAATCGTTCCTTGAAACCTAATAAGCGACGTGCACGCGGTTGGACGTCCTCTGGAGAACAGGAGGCTCGAAAAGAAATCCTGGGAAAGGGAAGTGCGACTGAGAGTGGCGCAAATTTTTATCGTACACGCGATATCGAGTGATTGGACGGTTGAAGTATCGCTTGTTCGTATCGAGCGAAATAATACGAGTTAAGCGAAGCGACTCTGCCATGCATTTAACCCGCTATTAATAATGGCCGTTTACAAGGAACGAGAGGATGATCAATCAGGTCCGGGTGGAAGGGATGTTGAAAGCAGACAGCAGGGAATGAGAGTACAGTCAAGGACAACGTACGTGACCACCGCATTGCGACGACAGATAATTGGTATTACCTCTTTAAATGACATTAAGGTAGGTGGACACCTCGATACTTAGAAAGGTACCCATTAGGAGCTTTGAACTTGGGTCCAAAGGGTATGGCAGGATAAGATAGTCAAAAGTGCCCTTGAAACCCATTTCTAAAAAAGTTTCAGCCCTGTATCTCAACCGGGAGGGTAGTTACAGGGTAAAATTGAAAAAACGGTTTTTGCCATATTTTCCCTATTTATTGGTATTCAAAAAATCTGAAAAAATTCTAGAATATTCTAGACATGTTTCTTTATGATTATGAATTTTTTCAGATTTTTCGGTTGCAAATCCTAGGCGTGAGAAATGGAAAACGCAAAATAAAGTCGAAAAATTAAGATTTCGGGTAGAAGTTTTTGAGACACTAGATTTTTACTTTTATAGTGGTTAGATATTAGCATGACTGGTGTCCTCGATTTTTTTCCGATTTTTCAGTCAGGTGCGCTGTGTTTAAAAAAATCGAAAACCGATATTCTCGACATATTTCGTGCGATAACATGAGAAATACTTACAATTTGTACATTTCCTTTGCACACTTATTGTTAGTGCATTATGTGATTCTAACATTTCTGCAAGATCTATGGAGCAAGATCTGAATGGAGAGAGTGAAGTTATTGTAAATAATTGAAAATTACGCTGTACCCTTTTAACAATTAAAAAAGTAGTCATTTGGAGGTTTGTCAGCTGCTCATCTTTTAATTTTTGGGAACTTGAATAAATTGAACAGGTGCAGTATTGTCTCTCCAAATGGCCACTGATTTAGTTTCCCTTGATGCTAATTAGAAAGGGAAGCAATTTAAGGATTCGAGTAGAAAATGGCAATAAAATTAAAAAATGGCGGGGACCACAATTTTCCATGGTCCTGAAAAGCTAAGCTCACCAAGAAACAAATCATTTGGAGGTTTGTCACCTGCTCATCTTTTAATTTTTGGGAACCTGAATAAATTGAACAGGTTCAGTATTGTCTTTCCAAATGGCCACTGTTTAGTTTCATCTGATGCTAATTAGAAAGGGAAGCAATTTAAGGATTCCAGTGGAAAATGGCAATAAAATTAAAAAATGGTGGGGATCACAATTTTCCATGGTCCTGAAAAGCTAAACTCACCAAGAAACAAAGCTCCTAGGTGATTGTATAAATTATAAATAGTTCGTTCACCCGATACGCTTGAGACCGATCCAAAATCGTGTGTGCTTCGCGAATGTATTCTCGACTCGACGAATGACGAGCCAGAGTTAATTTCTTAAAGACAAGACATTCACGAGACGCTATTTACAATGTTAGATCAGATGCAAATGAACAGAGAGGCGTGTAAATATTGAAGATACCAATAGAGAAGTGTTGAAACTGTGGTTGCAAGGATAACAATTAAAATAAACAATCAAAGTAACTCGATTTCTTCACGCCTTTTTCTTTACATTTCCCCCTTTGGTTCTCCCTTCGGACCATGAGATAAACCTTGACCAAGTTAAGGATAACCGCATTAAAGCTCCACTCTCTGGTAAGCCAATCAACCGAAGAAAGTGTTTAACGGAAGATAAATTATTCGATCTTTTTAGAAGTATAAAAATATTTTGCTTATCATTCGTCACTTACCCGATGAAACGCCGCAAGATCATTTTTATTCTAATCAGAGTAGAATACCGTGAAACTCACCTGAAACAAAATACAGAATCAGTTAAAAATTTGCATCCAATCATTAACAGGTGATTATAATTAATTCGATAGCAGGCGTGATAAAAATAGCGACTAATAATAGTTGGTGAACCAGAAGAATTTTTTATACCAAGTCTGTAATTACAACGATAAATTGCCTTCATCCAAGCCAATTGATTATCTTGAATAATTAATCATGTTTGAAAAAAGGATCAAAGTTGGTAAAGGAAAAAACAATTGCAATTATTTCTCGAATGCATAATCACCTTCTAAATCGAGTTAACGACCGAGTGCAGTTGAAACTGTCGAGTGAAATATACCGTGTGAAAGAAAATGGTATTGGTGGAATAAAAATGGAGCAAAGTGTCATTATATAAAATGTAATTTCGAATAAAATGATTTTATGCTTCGATCAACAGTGTGTCTGGGTTCGAGGTGATTACCAGCCGTGACCCAGCCGTTTCTTTGGAAAATCCGCACTTGACCTAATTCCTTGCAACGCTCGCGATTTTCCCTGGAAGGTAGAAAAGCTTCGTCGCACGAATCGCGTTTCACTGTGAAATTGCAAGAGGAACCTTGACATTCCCGCGAGATCGGTAAATGGAAGCTCGTCACGTGAAGTGTACTTCCGAGGGCCTTGTAACAGGAAATCACCCCGGAGCTTTCTCGAATAACCGAATGAGGGTCGTTCGCGTCGCTAAATATACATTCGGTCCCGGTGAACCGTGGTACCGCGAAAGGAGTTCAAACTAACAATAACAATTTTCTGAATTTCTATTTTTCCCGATACATGAAATAGCGGCATCAAATTCATGGATTGTGTAAAACAAAAGAACAATGCGCGTTGCTGGAAACGGGAGAACAATAAAATAGGACCTCGGTGCTGAAATATAGGTCAGACAAATGAGCCAGGATTATCGCAAAGGATGCGATGCGCCACGTGTGACTGAAACATTTATGTAATGCCGCGTGGTATTCAAATGAAGGAAAGGAAAAAAAGGATCTGTATGGTTACTTGGAAGTCGTTGATCAAAGAAATCGTCGAAGGTAAGGTACAATTACTTACTCAGCTTTATCCATTTCCTGGCATATTTTATAGCCAACTGCATAACGAATCGTTTGCGTAATGACGAATAGAAATAGAAAAAAAAAAATTAAATTAAAATTTGTTACCGTTCCAGGGTTAAAAGGACGGTCATCGAGGTGTTACTAAAATTATAGCCAGAGGCGGGTGTGATATATAAACGTGTTAATTTTTGCTAATATCAAATAGCGACTGTGGCTTATATACCACTAAAATAAAAATAAAATAAGTAGAATATCACTTCAGTAATATAATTTCAAATTAGAACGATCGGCTGTGCTAAAAGTACCAGCAGTTGAAGGGTTAAATAATTTAAAAATGAAAAGGATAACTAGAAAAAAAAATTAAATTAAAATCTATGGTCACCGTTCCAGAATTAAAAGGACGGCCATCGAGGTGTTAATCCTTTAACTGCGGGTGTGGTTTATAATCCACATACTAAAATTATAGTCAGAGGCGGGTGTGATATATAAACGTGTTAATTTTTGCTAATATCAAATAGCAGCTGTGACTTATATACCATTAAAATAAAAATAAAATAAATAGAATATCACTTCAGTAATATAATTTCAAATTAGAGCGATCGGTTGTGCTAAAAATACCAGCAGTTAATGGGTTAAGTAATTTAAAAATGAAAAGGATAAGTAGAAGAAAAAAAAAAAATATGATTGAAAATAAGGAAGGAGACCTGTTGGCCGTGATGGCGGAGAAACGTGAAAATAGGTCAGAAGAAGATTACACGAACGAGAGTCGTTATGCAGCCAGGTGGAGGTGGTTGCTATTCAGAAAACGTTTCCGAGATACGATACACCTGTCCCGGTGTCTGGAATCCGCGAGACCGGGAAGCTAAGAGCTCTGGTCAGAGTACGCAAAAGGAGGAGTTAAGTAGGTCAGTAGGTGAGTCGTGCTAAACAGTGCACGGGAGTGTCCCGACATTGACCTATATGTCTACTTTATGTGTGCACTTGCCTTCCCCTTCCGTGACCCCTCTTACTCTCTCCTTCATTCCCTCCTATCTCACTTTACCCCACCCCGTTTCGCCGTGCACTTTCCAGCCAATTGCATATAGGGTCTGCTTGCACTTGCAGTGCACTTTCCCCACCATCGCGACGCCACCCCGGCGCCACTGAGCGTCCCGCCGCCACCCTCAACCAGACGCGATCGATGCCCTGACGACCCAACAATTTATAGCCACTGTCGAATCATCCAACACGGTTTAATTCATTTTTCAGTTTCCCGGAAATTGCAATTCTCCTGATGAAATCTTTCTCCATTCAATTTTTCGTTAACCGTCCCTTTTCGAATTTCGATGGGACGGAAAATTTTCTGGGAAACAGGTGGGACGACGCGATTAAATAGCCCATTAGTCGCCCGCAGCCCGCGTCTCACCTGTTAGCGGAAAGCCAGCTAGGTACCGACCTCGGCGACGATACCGGTGCTAACGAAACGATTTCGCAATGCGATTTGCGTACGCGTACGCATGCCTGAGTGCGTGTAGCCTTGCGGAAATATAAATAGTGATCGTGTTAGAAAAGGAGAGAAACTTGAACGAACGAGTCAGTCACACTTGGCGTGTTTTTCTCACGCCTCGACTGTGCCGGACTCGAGAGCTTTAGCACGACGACGACCCTGGTTTGTTAGCTGCGTTATGTAAAACCTACCGGTTGTGGGAAGCAGACATTTTGCATTTAACGATATTGCATTTAACTCAAACTAGATTCGGTAAGAGTTCCTTTCAGCACCCTCCTTCAATTGACTCAAAAATTACCAGGCAAACTTCTCATTAGTTGTAAATCAAAAAAACATTAATGTGGAGGCGTGGAAATGTTTTTTGGGATTCTACAGAATGAATTTTATTACGGGAGCAAAAATGAGCAAAAAGAAATTACAAAAACTTCAAAGAATAACCTAACCTAAACCTAACACCTAGCAGGATTTACTGGATATTTTTGCCATTGATTATGGCGAGCGAGAGAACACGAGACGCGAGATGATATTGGTTCGTAGAGTTGCGATTGAGAAAGCAAATGAGATGGCGGCTGAAAATTGCAATCACAAACACTATAACTGAACTGTCCACATAAATCACGACGGTAAACTGATCTGATTGATTAGATGAATTTAAAATCTTGTTGTTTAGAAGAGTAAAATGGCGGTGATGAAAATGGCCGCGATTTTTCATGAACTAAGAATTTCCGCGTGACTCTATTATGCGTGAGAAGTTTGCCCGAGGATTTTTAAGTCAATTGAAAGGTGGTGCCAAAAGAAACTTCACCCCTAGATTCTTCTCACAGGAGAAAATAGAATCTCACACGCGAGACGGATGTGTTTCTAAATGGCCCCACAAAAATTGAGAATTCAGGTTCGGTAAATAACCTAAATTGACTACAAGAAACCGATTAAAGTTGGTTTTAGAGCTGAATGTCTTACCGTTTTCGAGATATCGTGGTAAGGTTAGGTTAGATTAGGTTAGGTTCTGTGTATGCGCAGTATCGAATAGCATATGTTCAGTATCGAATAGCGCATGCGCAGCATTGAATAACGCATGCGCAGTATCTAATAGCTCATACGTAGTCCCAAAATTGTACAAAAATTTCTTACCACGATATCTCGAAAACGGTAAGACATCCAGCTTTGAAACCAATTTTAATCGGTTTCTGGTAGTCAATTTAGATTATATACTGAACCTGAGTTCTCAATTTTGATGGGGCCATTCGGAAACTTATCCCGTGAGACCCATGTAACTTTGAAATGAGTTGGTATGAACAGCATTCGAATCTATGTGCGAACTAATCAGAAGATGGGCAGAAGCAATATGGCGTCGTACTAACCTGTCAAAGTACTTACGCTAAATATACTTCTTTCACAGAATTGTATTTTTTAAACTATTGCTTTCCTGGACTTTTAACTTGCATTTTCGAATATTTCAAAAACTATAAGATTTGATACTTTTTATTCAACAATTTTTGGTCCCCTAAGACGAAGTGCAGCCTATTTTTTTTCTTTTTTAATAATTTTGCAATTAAGTCCGATGGAATTTCTGTTCTTGGTTACGTGACTGATTACTCACCGAATAACCTACTTTACCTTTTCACCCCAGAAACCTAGTAACTCTCATTCATAGTCTCGCATGAATGATCCGCAATTTATTCGCGACGTAGCGTTCGATTCGTATTTCGTTCGCTTGCAATTTCTCTATCGAATGAAAATAAAAAAAGGAAATGGGGAAAAAGAGACGGAGAGAGTGAGAAAGGAAAAAATCGGGCAGATAAAAAGTTTCCGCTGAAAACAATTGCGTCGCCAACAGTACAGCTCGCGACGCGATTGTTTATCGAAAAACGATGCGTACGTAACGCGTTTTATCGTGGCTCGTGTATGCTTTAAAATTTCATTCTCCTTTTTCTTTTAGCCATTGTCGTACGTGTCCGAGCGTTGCGCTGGTCATGCACGAGAATCTTTCGATATCTGGAGGAAAATTTTTAAAAGAATCGAAATTCGAAGAGACATATCAAATTGGAGCACGCGACGTCGATTCAGCTCGGACAAGTTAAACGAAACAATTAGAGACTAAAGATATAATCGAAGATACTCAACGCTGTATTTACTGTAAAATAATTGCGTGAAGCTTACATAATTATAGTGCGTGTTACAAAACCTTGTACGCATCGCGATCAATAAACTCTTCGCAGCCGACGAGTCTATTTATATATTTAACACAAACACGAGATACTTTTGCATACTTATCGAAATTATCAATGATCGACGTTGCGGATCTCATACAAGAAGCTTAAATGGATTTAACGTCTCGATGTATCTATAAATAGAAAATAAAGAAAAATCAGATTTTAATTCGATAATGAGTTTGTTTATTCGTAAATGTCCTTGTTCCCTTGCGCTATATTTCCCCTATCCTCTAACTCTTATATTTGAACTTCGTCGAATGAGTCAATTAGCAAGCTGTTCTAACATCTGCTGGTATCGTTTTCTTTCCCTCTGAACCACCATCCCGTATGCGCGTATACGTTTATATATACTGGGTGTCCCAGAAACAGTGTTAGTCCTTTAACCTTTTCGCTTAGAAAATTATCTCTAAAGTCAAAAAGTACTATGAAAATAGTTAATTATTAAGGATTAGTAATTAGTTATTATTAACACGTTGACTGCCGTGGGGGTCACCGGTGACCGGCATCGCAAATTACACGCACTCCAATAATTAAAAGAAAACGATAGAAAAATATTATTTTCAATAGTATTGTTATTATACTAATAATGTAAAGTATCAAATTAAAAGCTTGACATTTGAAATTTGAAAATTAATTATTCCTATTCTTAATAATTAGAGCTTTAATACGTCTCGTAACAAATGCCCATTTTCACTGTGACAGTCAACGTGTTAAGGAAAAACACGTATATACGGGGTGTCCCTAAAATTCGAGCACTGTGTAGATAATTTGCAATCGGCGTTAATCGATTCGCCAAGCTTTAACGATTCGAAAACGAGTGCCGGTTGCATTTAATTTCGAGCTAACGACGAATCTGTTCTGCCGTGCCAATTAATGAGATAGAATTTCAACGCGTGGGCGTAGGACATGGACGTTCGCCATTTAGATACTCGAACCGGTCGCATCGGCCATCACCGTCCTGCAGCTACGTTTTTCTCGAAACACTTACGAGGATTATTTCTGTATTTTGCAAATGTCACATGTAAATGAAATATATGAATAAAGCACGGAGGAATTTGTAACCCCGGTACCAGGGACCAATACCCGGGTCATTCTGTATCCACACGTGTACCTTAATTAGGAATGTAAATACCTATCTTCGTTTATACACACTCTGTACAAATAATTTTGTGATATACGAAACGTAAGGTTGTACGTGCTTGTCCATCGTCGACCTCGAATTTTTTAAATAACAGAAACAATGTTTTTGCATCACTGCCAGACGTATCGTTATTTGTACGAGACTTTTCGCGGGATAATCTTATCGTACCTATATCGGAGAGCAAACAAGTCGAATCAAAATTTTTCTTTTCCTCTCACCATTGCCATTCGCTCTAATAAGCAGATTTTTCTTTGTCCTATTAAAAATGAATATAAAAATAAAAATGTATAAAAAATTTTATGCAAATGCGACGGGTTTGATTATTTTGGTAAAGGGGAAAGGAGATTAGGGTGCTCAGCCACCCCATATCCTTAGTTCCGGGTAGGACATTATTACCTATATGGTAAATCGATAGCTCCTAATTGCAACGAACGAACAGTAATACGCTTCTGCGAGCAAACGGGTATCCGCATTATTCCACGGATTCGTTGCTGGAGTTATGGACGTTTACGACATCGTTACTATCTCTACGGTTACGTAAACCCGTTGCTTACACTGTATTCGTTAATAATTCATGGTGCATTAATTAGGATAAGAAACGGCGAAAGTACGAAGCGATAGGAGATAAACATTGCCTGGTAAGATTTTTTTTTAGACCTTGCTAGTGTTATTTTCTTAAATTAGGAAGATACAATCTATTAATAGATCTTAACTGGTAACTCCGATAGATCCCACCTTACCGGTTACCGGTTAATAAAATTTCCAATCTGCGTAACCAAGGAAACCTGATCCAAAAGGACTAGACATCCGGTTTAGGCTGAAACTAGCCCTTCGACGGTTACGTAATCTCCGCACGACCTTGGGCTCAAGGCCAGAATGCAATTCGTCGAATTTCAAAGAATAAAGTGCACACACGACGAATACGTCGAGTAAGACGGCACAATATACGCGAACCAATATAATAAAGCATAGAATGAAGAATGTATGTTGTGGAGGGAGAACAAAAAGGAAGAGAAGATGAAGAGAGACAACATAGCAGGATGAAGGAAGAAGAAGGCAACATAACTGGTAGGGAATAAGATAAAATAGGGGTCCGGAGAAGAGAGGAACGCGTGCAGTCGTGTAGTTCGACCTTGGACTTATATAACAAGGAAGAATCTATACAGAAAGTGAAGGATCTCATGAAAGAACTTTGAAGGGTGAAAAAGAATGAATTAAATATATAGAAAACAGTCACAGACCTGCCCTCTGGTGGCGAATGAAAAATTTGAAAAATATCTAAAACGAAATTCAATTAATTATTTTCTATATAAATAATTCAATTCGTTACTCGTTTTCTGAACTATATAAAACTTAATCTGTAATTCGTTCATTCACTCAATATATAACACCTATTCGTTTGAGAACATGGCATGCAATATTACTAATATTAAACTTTGATATTTATTGATTTACAAAATAACCCGTGTGTTATTTGTATTACTAGATTTTAGTCTGTACAGCTGTACCGTGAAAACAAAGGGTTGAACGGTAACAAGCACGAAGGGGTTAATTCGCGCTAGCTTGAGGTAGGACGTGAACAAACAGACGCCAGGTGTCGCCACATTGCAACACATACTGGACTCGGTCAAGCGATAATAATTCTCACGTGTCTCTGTCAAGCGGTAGTATGGCTTTAATTCACTGTACACGAGAGATTATCTAGGTTAAAGACACGCCGTTATGCTACATATTGCGTAATACATGATGTGCAGCCAACCGAGCGAACAACTTTCTTCGGTGTTTCGTAAATAAACATCAAAGAAAGATGAAACTCCAGTTAAATCTATTCGCAGCAAACCGTTCGCTTCTGATGCTGTGCGTAAAAAAGCACGCACCGCGTTTAAACAAAAACTGTGACTACGATACTTTCTTTACGAGCTATTTATGCTTTTACGAACATGTATGAGACCACGCGTAGAGATTAAGCCAAAAGAGAAGGGTACAGTCAAGATCAAAAGTGGAATGCGTGACATACATTTGGCTAAGGGAGCAATTTTCACAGAAAGGCTATCAGAAAGTGAGATGCCAAGTCGTATGAAACTACAGATGAATGAAAGTTATCTCCAAAACGAAATTCTCCGTTAATATCACGGTCAAATACCGTGAATGCGGTCACTGAACTAGTTCCGTTTCGACCCTGACACTGCCATTGCCCCCAGGTCGCGATTTGTGTCAGAGGCTCAATATTGCCGCGATTTTATTTGCATGCAATTTACTCACCCCTTTCGCTGGACTCCATCTCTCAAAGGCTGCTGACACCGTGCTGTATGTACGGTACACGACACAAGTATCGAACAAGTACACGTGGAATATTACTTGTGGATTTCGGGCCGCTAGCTCAAAATTCACCACGATATAAACATGGCCGGTCGCTCTCTTGTCACAATTACCATGAGGTCGTTGAACTTTTCCGAAACCACGAGACAACTTCGTTGAACATTCACACTGTATATTCTTTTTTCAAACGTACACGAAAAATGGTAAAATAGCCAAGCTAAGTGCGTACCGCCTAAAAATAGATTGTGAATTCGGCGATTGTTTTGACTAACAATCTGATTCGCAACCTACTCAGAGGTGGCGCTAAACGTTCGAACCTGGTTCTTGTTATAGCGCTAAAGATGAATTTTATCTTAATTGTTAAATATAAACAAACAAACACCAATGAATCTTTATATATAATTATTAAAAAAACAAATCCAATCCTTTCTTTATTTTATAACCTCTCTTTACCATTTCTCGTGGTTTATTCATATATTAAATGTAATATGTGTACTGAACAAGATAATGAAATATACTCACTTTTTCTATCATGTAGTCCAAGGTATACATTTATTAGCACCTCAATAACAAAAACTCCAATCAGTAAAAATGTACCAATCAGTAGGATGTTTCTTTTGTTAAATCAGCTTGCATTCGCCAGAGGGTATCGTGTTCATTAGAACTCGAAGCCATAACCTAAGAAAATGTATACAGTGTTAGTATAAATATCTTGATATTGACACCGAGTAATTTAATTGCGCGTATATATTCATTAATGGCTGGGGGTGATATAAAGTTTAATTTACGAAACCTAGATTTTCCGTATTGTGCTACGGAAGCTTTGTGCAGAATCGGTAAGACGCTGGTTAATTGAGGTTATTCTTAAACCTAGAAACATCTTTTAATTTTATTATTATATTTAAAGAAATACTATGCGGCAAATCCGGGAAACAGATGGATTTACAACTGGATTTAATATCCGAATTCGTGTTCGGGGAAATAGAAAGGCGAAAGAAACGCAACATGACACTAGCGATACAAGAATTGCAATTGATAGAAGTTCTGAGCGACTTTTTCCAAAATCCTGGAGGAATGCCCGCTGTACGGAACGCAATATTTTTATCTCTTTTCCCTGCAGATAGTCCCAGATATAAAATTTTAGGCAATTTAGTATCTTTAGCTATTGCCACCCAAAATAAAGCAATCTTGAACGCAACCGGAATTTGGATGCAACAGTTAGGCTCTACTTCGCCGCAAAGCGTAGGATTAGCAAGGCATGTACTTAACGACTATTTTGTCCTTACGCCAAAATCTATCGACAAGTTGAAGCAGCTTCCTGTTCTTGCATCACATTTCACTGCCAACTTACTGACAGCAATAGGCGAGGTTTATGAGGATAAAGATCCACCTACAGAATTGCTCAGGTTAATAGGGGAATGGATAGATGAAAACCCAGGACTTCTGTTAACTCCTTTAATGGATAATCCTGCTTTACCAACTGGTGGCATTCCTATGACACCGATAACACCCATAGCAGGTTTATTCAGGTAAATTAAACAAGACTCTTATGAAATATACCTTAATACTTAAAGGACCGCATCTCAGCATTGAAACACGAGAAATCTCGGAAGCGGTCGGTTAAGTGTTAAAATGTTCGTCTGAATAGTATCTTTTTTTCATCAGGTGGTGTATTTTATCACCTCTACGTGTTAATACCGTAGAAAATGCGGAGAATTCTGAAGAACAAAGAAAACTTTATTCTAAAATTCAACAACTACTAATGGATTCAGTATTAAGATTGAAGAACAGTAGAAACAACAAACATGCTATATCAGCCCAGCACTTCGCAGCTACTACTCGTACTTTGACTACGAGTTTACAGTCTCAAGTAAACGTCAGTTCAACTCTACACGATTTAGCTATGGCACGACTCGCGCAGGCGGTTAGCGCAGCAATGTCCGCAAATTGCATTTATGGTAACAAACGTATGTATCATTATAATTATAAAATATATATATAAAAAATCACAATTGCAATGTGTAATTTTCTGTTTTTGTTACAGAAGAATTATTAGCTCTGTTACAACCTTTATCGTACCAACATTTCTTAATCGAATGGACATTACAAACCTATGCATCTAAAGCTACTTAATTACATTGTATTATGTTAATATTGTATTTTATGTTTGAACTGTACATAATGTATAACAGTATACATGACTGAATCATAGCTGTAAATATAAACAAAATTTTTAAGATCTAATAAATATTTATTTCGTGTTAAAATTGTCAACTTAATTCGTAAATTTTTCACTTAATAAGGATACAAAATTAAAAAGGCCTAAAAGTTCTTTTAGATTTTAAACTTTGTAACCTTTGTTTATCTAATTCGAACTTTTTCCTTAACTCGGCCAAGTCTGCAAACAAAAATATAATAAACCTTAAATGACTGAATTTTGTGCAAGCTAAACACCATGAGGTAAAACTTACTTTGTTTTTTACTCTCACGAATTTGGAAAGTATAAAAGTTAAGCAATTGCTTTTTCTTATTTTTCTGCTCTTCCTTATGTTGTACTTTATTGATAGTAGACTCTTTTCTAGAGAGAGCATATTCTCCTCTCTTCTTCCGTGCACTTACAGTTACCCAACCATCATTATCCTCAGCTTCTTCTTCTATAGCCTTTTCATTTGCTTTTTTCTCAGCTATCTTTTTATCATAATCCAACATATAGTCTTCAATTTCCTTCTTCAGTTTTTCTTCATCACATATTGACTCATTGTATTCCTTACACCACTCTAATTACCAACATAATTAAAGCATATTCTACAAGACTAAATGAAGAAGAATACTGAAAAAACTTACTTGCTAAACCTGTTAAGCAAACATTATCTTTTCTATTTAATGATATCATATGGTTTGCAGGAAGTTCTAATGCCTTTTCTAATGTAGTTTCTTTTTCAAAAACTACATATGCTGTTTTAAACCCTTTTGGCGTTACAAAGAAAACATTAGTAACCTTTCCACAAATTTGGCTAAACGCTTTCTGTAATGCTTCAGGTGTAACGTAAGGTGGTACATTTAGAACAAATAATGTTCTTCCTTTCGGATGTTCTGGTAACTGATTTCTAATGGAATGCTCTTTAAGAAACAATTGATGTTTGTCTGTGTTCTTTCTATTAAATTGAATCCATAATGCTAAAAATTGAGTAATCAAATAGATACTTATTTATGAGAATAAATAATCTAATTAAAATAACAAATAAAGTACGACGTAATTACTTTTGAAACCCTGAAGGTTTTGTTTCTCACTCTTCATGATCATATCGTAATTAATAACCCGTCTTTAAGTCAGTAATAACACGTGCGTTAAGTCATACCCATAACCTCATTCAAAACACCAATGAAACGTATATATCAATCAACTATATTTTTGTTCAAACATTATAAATGAATAACTTTTATTCGTAAACAATTTAATAAAACTAAAATATAATATTTATTACAAGGAGAATTGACAGTTAGTCTTCCCTGGTCTTCCCGCCGCGGAAAGAGTGCCGAAGTAGTGGGGGAGCATCCGCAGTTCACCAGAGTCCATAACTGCGAAAAGACCAGTTTTCGTTCTTCGCGCTTCTCCAGTGCGCATCTTCGCCCTGATTGGCGATACTCCCAAACGAAGTGAAAAGCGATTAGCAGAGAGCGCGCTGCGCGCAGCACCTGCGCGTCGCAGTTATGGACTCTGGTGAACTGCGTTGTATACCTAACGCGACCCAATATTTACGTTTACGCGCGAGGATTTGAATTGATATTTAAGTTATTCATACTTTATAATTATATACCAAATTTTATAACATTTAATAGTTAAAAATTATTGTATTTTGTTTCTAAATCATTTTTAATATAAATATTGTCAAAATTAAGACTAGATAAACCTACTTTGCTTGATATCTATACATATGTGTATTCAAACCCACTACTTTGCTATATTTCAATGCTATACAATTGTAAGTAAATGTCAGGGTCATATAACGCACATACTAATACGATATAATACTTCTGGCGCTTCGAAATAATAATTCAAATATTACTGAAACTTCCACAATTTATTATAATTACTAATTTCCTTGGTTTTTAATAAATTATTTATCCAGTTTATATATTAGAACCATAATTTATACCATAAATAAAATCAACGTATAAAATTATACTTATAGAGGCAGGGTAATATTGATCATGAAAAACAGCAGGTAGCAGGTAACATGTAATAGATCTGTAGATATCATTCCAGTTCAAAGAAATTGCCCGATCGTGCGTTAACTATGGTTAACGTATCATTCTTTTTTTGCATTATATTATTGTTTTTATTAACAAATTCAGAAAGCAAAATTCTTCAGGGCCACCTTGTAACACGTGAAGTACTATAAATATTCTTTTCGAACTTTTACACCTATTCTTAAGATATATTACATGTTCTTATATATGTACTCACCCTGCTGCATTAACTATAAATAATAAGCTGAATACGCATTATAAAACTGATTTTTTCAGAACTGGGCATTTTTAGCGAGATTTTGTTTTTTAACGGAACAAGGCACATTTCGGTATGAATTTGAATTAGGAGGTGATGAACAAAATTTGAAATTATTATTATATTATGACGCCCCTGATCAATGGCCAAGTGTTTATCCTTCAAACAAAACATGTATCGAAAAGGAAGCTTTGCTTTGGGACGGAATTGGTCAAATAGTACCATTATCGTTATCAACGTCTGAACAATCCGGATGTGTCCAAGAAGACACAATAACACGATGTTCTAGCTATCGCAGGTTTCGATCATCTCGTCCGAGATGGTGGTTTATTGCTTTAGCAGATTGTTCATCGGAAAGCGGATTAAATGTTTCATATTGGATATCGCTAACAAATGCGCCACATGGCAATTTTTGGAAAGAACACTTCTCAGCAGATGAATTCTGCAAGTAACTTTACCTCGATTTAGAGTAAATTGATATTGTTTAATTGAATCTATTTTCGTTTCAGATATATTACCAGAATTGATAATAATTGCTTGCATTTATATAGTACTTGTCATCCTAAGTTTTTATGCAGCCATGCAATTGCGAGCAAGAAGACTATTACATGTATCTTACAAATTATTCATGGCTTCTTTGCTTTGTCAATTGGTGGGGATTCTATTTGAAATTTATAGTTACATAAATCTTGGATTAAGAGGAACATCGACGAATAATGCTTCTTTGTTGGGTCAACTTTTAGAAGCATGTTCTGATATTTTATATACTTTGCTTATGTTACTACTTGCACTTGGTTTCACAGTGACTAAAAGTGTTTTAAAACCCAAACAAATTCGATGGCTTATATGTTTTATTTGTCTCGTTTCTTTCTGTCAGTTGTCATTATATATTTATCAGTCGGATGTGTTTGATCCTGGATTAGTACTATACATCTATGAATCACCACCAGGTTATGGACTAATAATATTAAAATTGATTGCATGGATTGTATTTTCCGTTTGTTGTTTTAAAACCGTTAGGAAAATGTCAACAAAGCTTCATTTTTACGGTTCATTATTTTCATTGGGATCAACATGGTTTTTGTGCCATCCATTAACGGTATATGTAATAAATATACATTTGATTTAATAACATAGAATCATATTTAAAACCACTTGTAAATAATGTTCTTGTACTTCTGCAAATATATAAAAAATATTTATAATCTTGTAGGTGCTCTGCATCACTTTGTTAGTAGATGAATGGATAAGAGAAAGTGTTGCTAAAGGATGTTCATTGTGGATTGTTTTTCTGGGACATATAATATTTTTATACATCACTAGACCATCTATGGCTAACAAGCGTTTTCCATTTCATATTAGGACATGTCAAGTGATGCCAATTGCTGGTGATGGCCAAGACCATAGTTATGAACCTCGTGTTAGAACAGCAGGTTCTGCATTCACTATATCCCATCTACCTCCACCTACTTTGCAATCTTAATAATAAGCATACTCTAAAATAAGTGATAATATATGTAAGTAAAATGAAATAATGATCCTATTTTTACTGTTATTTTTTAACATTTATAACTAAGAAAGGGCACAGTTAGGTACAGTTAGTCAATAAGGAATTAAATATTAATTTTATACGCTGTACCCATGCCATTATCATCTTATTCTTCTTAGAATAATATTTACAATAATCAACTTACATAATTTTTTATATCACATGTAGGATTTATCTGAGAATTTAAAACCATAATGATTATCAATCACATGAACCATCCAGCCAACCATCTTTCCACCTTTGGTTAACAAGTTTGCAATCAAACAGAGGTTTCCCAAGCCTTTTGTTTACCCCGTTATGAATGTTACAAAGCCATTGACTTAACTTTTCCTGCGAATCTGTTTGAGGTGGATACTGTTTTATTTGCTCTTGTAAATCTTCTGCACATACATAGCATGGATAAAACTTAGAAAATATTTTAAAAAATGTTTTCATATCTGATTTCTGTTCATCACTTGGATTATCAGGATAATATGCTGCCATGGTATGTAGAAATGACCATGTTCTTGAACCTAATTCGTCCTTATCCAATGGGCATTCACGCCTACTATTATTTACAGCTTGATCTTTCTTTTTACTTTCCTCAGATTCCTGATGTAAATGAAATATGTAAAAATACATATAATTTGAATTCTTTAAAAGAACTTCCTACCTATTTTTTGGAAGTTACTTAATATTTACTATAAGGCGTACAACCAATGTGTGTAATAGTTTATACAATGATGCAATACTTTTTAACATGTACAATACTGTTGTACTTTTATTCTTATATATCATTTACTTACAAAAATAAAAGTTTATACAGTATATCCCTACCTTTGTGGAGTCAAAAGTTTTCTTTTGACTTTTTGCCCATGTCTTAAAGTCTGTACATGCACGACAAGGTTTCTCGTGAGACATTCTGTTATCATAAACACTGTATTCATTCGTAAGAACCTTTAAGAACTGTTATATATAAGTAATAATGAGTCCACGTGGATTGTAACCTGTTTTGCAATATTATAATTTGCCAATATATGTATAAATATTATGCATTGTATCAAATTTGTATCGGGTAAGAATTATTTATTGGATCAGTTGTGTTACAGAAATTCGCTATCCTTTTCCTTCATATACCAAGCAATTTTTCTTTGAATACGTATCAATACGTAAAACAGATATTCATCACAAACCTTTTAGAAAACGATACTGTCAGCGTTATCTAGCAGTGAACAGAGGAAGGACGATATATATAAAAATGTCAGTCCAATTGATACAGTAGGATGTGACACTAAAATGGTAACGAGCTTTCACATGGGCTTTTGGTCTCACCGTTCTAGAGACCCCAAGAATAAAAAAAAAACAATTAGTTTACATTATATTTCGTCAATGATGATATTCGTATTTTCGTATGCATTAGAATTAATAATATGACTTAAATAACGGTATTAACATATATTTAGTCTTTCAAAAGTAAAACGGAAACTGAAAAGCGCCTTGGTACCGGCATTTTATTTGCCGCCAGGTACAGCCGGCGGTATCGTTTCAAAACTTCAAAACTCTTTAAAAATGAGAAATATATAAAACTAAAACTTCCTCGCTTTTCTGATTCTTAAATTTTCTAATTTATTATAATATGATATTTTTTCTTTAACATTGTACATGTGTAGTTGTTTTAATCAGATAACACTTGAAGTTATTGATCAAATATAGAAGCTCGGAAAGCATGCGCACTTTACTTACTCACGGATTATAAGAGAATGTTGTCCTCTAACGTTATACAAATTTGTATTAATCTTTTTACGATTCTGTATTGCGTGGCTGGTGAAATTTTATTGAACAAAAATGAAAAACGCGCCAGCTTTAGAAACAATTATCAAATGTGTTTCGAGAGTTTCAATGTCCTCGAAAATAAAATTATTCGAACTCAGGAATCTCAGGACATGGGTGCTAAGTACTTGAAAGAAATGGATGTTAATTCCAGAAGCGAATGCTTACGATTTTGTTGCGATACAAAAAACTGTGACGTGTTTATTTTCGAAGAAAAGGTATACCCATTTTTCTTTTAAGCATTAATTATAAATGCAATATTCAGACCGTAATTTCCTAATTATCTGTATTCTACTTATGATACATTAATTGCATCTCCATTTAGAAACCTGGAAGTTGTTACCTTTTCCAATGTGGGCCATCGCATGATTTCAAATGTAAATTTACCAATCATGCTAATTACAGTAGTGCAATACACACCAATTACAACAGTCAAGGTAATGCACAACTTGAACAAGAGATTCGAATTTCTCAACAAGAACACGAATTGAAATCCCTCAGGTGAGCATGCATATACAATATTTTTAATCATTCAGTAAAAAATGATAACATTATTTATACCACAGAAAATTAGGGAACATAGCACCAGCAGAATATTCATTCACAGAACCCCCTATCAAATTAATTGCAACTTTAGCACCAAAGCTATCGTTAACAACAACTCCACCTATTAAGCAAGGTATTTAAAAATTGAAACAATGTCCTAAAAAACATCAGATGTCTATTAATATATTGTATATATTAGGTTGCAGGCCTAATCAATACAAATGCCGATCTTCTGGAGAATGTATAGCAGTATATAATGTATGCGATGGCATTCCACAATGTGCAGATGAATCTGATGAAGCAGCAGACGAATGTCCTACAGAGAAACCAACGATTTCTCCTATAATTCAAGGACCCCAACCACCTCCACCACCTTTACCTATTGACAACATAAAATATCAACAAATGGTTGATCAACAAAAATTTCCTGTTCCTCAATATGCCCATCCAGAAGTTAATTCTTGGATGTTACCTAATTCAGACCAACAAATGATTCCAAGACCCATTTCATACCCAGCGCAGCAAATGGAAATACTTCCAATACATAAAGGTTACGGTGCCCCAGGATACCAATGGAATCTTCAACCTATCTACGATCAAAACAAGGACATATATAATCCTATTAATTCTTTTCATGAACAGAGCAACTTGAATCGTTATGAACGTAGGTAGCATATTTAAAAACGACACTAATTTATATCATATAATAATCTGTTGAATTCCTTGTTTCTAGATCAACCACATAGTTTTAATCATAAGGGGTCAAGTGTTATAGGAGAAAAAGAGACAGATGGGTAAGATTTTTAAATACAGGAAAACGCTAAGTATTAAAAATGTTAAAGTAGTTCAACTTCAAAATTTCTTAAATGTTTTGTTAGGGGTGCGTATTTAGATGAAAGACATCCATACATCTCACATTTTGGATCATCAAATAGAGGACCATGGCAAAATACACAAATTTTTCCATCTCCGTCCCCAATACCGAACTTGCCGCCAAAGCAAATTGATGAAATAGAAAATAACGTCGCGAGTACAGTAGCACCTCCTTGCGATGTAAGTTTATTTTTACTTCATAAATTTCCTTTATACAATGGAGCTGTTATTGCAGATATCGAATGAGCAAAGATACATATCAAAGAGCAAGGAAGTGAAAAAGACTACTCAGCAAGGAGAGAAGCATGTTGCCCATGAAAAAGAAATTGATCAAAATAGCTCTAAAGAAAATACATTAAAAATGGAAACACCAAAATTAAATCATGCAAACGGAAAGGAGCCAAAAGGTACAATGATGAACAATATTTTCCTGAAAATATTTTTCACCAATTATGTTACTTATATATTTCTTTTATATAGAACATAAAAGTGTAATAGTTATCAAAGACCACAGCAGAGAGCATGGTAGGAATACTATAATAGCGGATCATTTGAAGCAACCCAACGAAATCGAGGTTTTAAAACCCAGAGGAGCTGTTATATCATTAGCTTTAGGACTTACGATAACAGCAATTACAGCTACATTGATAGCTTGCCGTTTAAGAGTTGTTCGAAGACGCGGAAGACGACATGGACCATACGCCCATGACGCGGATTATTTAGTAAACGGAATGTATCTTTAAGTAAGTACGAATTTCTTTAATCCAGAAGAGTTTGGTCATATTTTCATACAACTTGAAATAATAAAGAATGTTATATTTTAATCATCTTATTTCAACATTAAACGAAAAATGTATGTTTAAAACGTATCGATAAATTTTATGTAAGCATATAATTGTATTAAACTTATTTATGGTTTAAGACAAGTAAGAGTTACCAATTTGTAACAAAACTATATTTATATATCATTTTTACAACCATATAATACATATAGGTCTGTGTAATTATTGATAATAGAATAATTTTCAAGATTGTAATAACTAACTATACTATAAAATTGTTGTTTTTTTACCTGGATTGTATCAAAAATTAGATACGAAGAATTTTCTAATATGTCCTAATTTATAACAGCATAATTACATGAGAAACGATACTCAGTTTATGTGAATATATGTTTTTAGATGAATACGTATGATGTATATACACGAATCTGACTGATCTATATAATTCAGGATAAATATAGATATAAAATTGTTGTACAGTGGAATCTGTATCCATCGTTCTTGAAAGGATCTATCAACCTAATCGATGAATGGGGGAAAATCATAGATACGGGAATGTACAACGACGGAAATGGATGGAATAAACGATACATAAGGGGAAACGATTATTCGAGAAACGATCGATCAAGATTTCACTGTATTATTACAATCGTGTTATGTGCGTAAGCATTTTTATGCTGAATATAGTATTGTTTCTAAAGACACAGTATTTTCAATTCAACCAAACCCAATAATTCTTGTAAAATGTTAATGAATTAATGGAAGCATTTAAATTATCAACCTCTTGAATAATGAGTTTTTATTTTAAATTATTATTACCTTTTGTTCAAACAGTCTTATTTTTGTTTTGTTTTTTATTGGAAAATATAGTAAAGTAAAAATAAAAATAATTTCAAGTACTGGTTTATATCATTACGTAACAATAACAAAAAAAATCGAGATGTTTATAAATGAAACTGCGTATTTGTTCAAAATGAAATAAAAATATTGTTTATTTTATAACTACTGTCTGCCAGTAGCTGCTGCAAATTGCTGTGCCTGTATAAATTCGGGGTAATCAATGTACCCGTCATTATTAGTATCATCCATAGAAAGAATTGGATCTATTAAAGTAACCAACTCATCATCTTTGAATAATTTCTCGCGTACTTCTTTGTTACCTTGTTCTAAATACAAGGAAGTAGTTATATTCATGCTTTTTCAAGTACTTAATGCTAAATCTTGAATAACAGGAGATTGGTTAATACATACCATGCCAATGAATCAAGGATTTTATAAGTTCACAACCATCTAACTTATTATTATTGTCTGCATCGTGCATCTTGAAATAATGAAACTGTAATTCTTGCTCTGTCATTTTACTAGTATCCATTGGAACTTCCATATGTTCTGCAATATGACTGTACAAACAAGAAAATAATTAATAAACAATTTTAAACATTCAGCATTAATGCATTTAACTTTCTAGAACATACGCTTTTTCATTAACTATATTGGCAGCATTAAGTATAGGTTGAGAATGATCATGATGATGTCCTGATTGAACTGGTACTTGAGGAGGTTGCATATGTTGTTGTTGTTGCTGCTGGTGCTGCTGCTGCTGCTGTTGCTGATGATGATGTTGTTGTTGTTGAACTGGGACTTGATGCATAGGTACTTGTCCTGGTACTTGTTGATACTTTGTAGATTATAACATAAATATTTATGAACAATGTAATACATTCAGTGTTAATAGGTATAACAATAATAAATTTCTTATAACATTGTGGAACTACCTGTTGTTGTGGAACTTGTTGTGGTACTTGTTGTGGTATTTGCTGATGTACTTGTTGAACAGGCTAAAACAAAGTGAATACATACTAATCTATGAATGAAACTATCATTGAAATTATGTATTCCATGAATTTTAGGGATATCATTTTCATATTCCTTGATAATAATTACAAACAAGTTAAAAAACTTTACATTATGACCTAATGTAATAGCAACCATATGGTTGATTATCTTCAAGAGAAAACATACTTGTTGATAATGTTGAGGTGATACACCAGGCGGAACTCTTTGTACCTGAGCATTTACATATTTACAACTAAATGATCCAATTACAAATACCCAGAAAGTCCAATTCATTTTGAAATATTCTGTAATAAATACACATATATAATTACAAATTTGAAATAGATGAACAATACATTTGTATTATTCTTTCTGATACTGTGTTACATTTCTAATTATGAAAACAACAATATTTAAACACAACATACCTTGTTTATGTTAAGGGATATACACAAAAACTGACAATGTATTCATTGGTAAGACTGAATAGCAAGTTGTATATTTGAGGTTATGTCACAAAAAATCATGTAGACTGACGTGGACAGGCATTGCAAATTGCAAGCATTGCTTTGAGAGGTATTTCAAACTAGAGGGTCAACAATCACATGAATTGTAAACAAAGCAATTACTAAATTTTCATAAATCTGACTGTATAAGAATAAAAATTTGAACTAAAAGCATTTAATATGATTCCATTAATTCATATAGAAATAGTTTTATAAGTTAAAAATAAGTTTAGAGGCCAAATTTTACTTAGCAACTTAAGAAACCCTAGATGAGAAACATTCAGCCAAAAAATATGTAAAATGCATTATATAACTGTAGAGTATAAAGCAATTATTAAATTCAAGTAATATATTATTATTGTATAAGTATACTCTTTATTGATATATCCTTGAAATATATCCTAACATTCATTTTAATTTTTTGAATGCCTAGGGTAAATATTCGGAACCTTATGTGTGAGTCCTTTTTCATTTTTAATTAAAATTGAGTAAATATAAATGTCACTTTATACATGACTCATAACATAGATTTTTCAAGTAACGCGTTGAATATTTTTTTTATAGTTTAATAACAAATAAATAATATCGAGATTCTTATCAATGACTTTAACCCGCCGTTGTAAAGTTCATGTTTTTACAATGGCGGAAATATGCTACTAAACCATATCGTTGATGCGACTTTACTGTTTTGAAAAGGTATTAATATTAATTTGTTGCTATATTGTAGCAAAGAAAAATACATTATTAATAAGTTATTTCTAAATTTAAAGGATTAGAAAAATCTAATCGCGTTGAGAGGTAAACTTCGAACCTGTACACTTTGTTGACCTGAATTTAATTTTCTAAATCACGAAATCATGAAATTTATTTCATTGATATTATTTTTTTGGAACTTTTAGAAAATTGAATAATAAATGGAAAAATGCCTCAGATACCAAAACATAGGAAAATTAAAAGAGTTACAGTGCTCACTAAAAAGACACAGTTTCTAAGAAATTATCTAAAACTTAAATCTTATAATCCATGTAAGTTCTAAACAAATTTAATTAAATTAGTGCTATAAATATCATGTAGTTTGAAAGTACTAAAATAAAATTTGTATTTTACAGTGTGTGAAAAATTAAGAAGTAATAATTACTCATTAGCAAAAGCATTATCTAAAGAAAAGGAAAAGACTCAGTTATTGTTTTCTCAAAATGTTGCTTTGGTTGCTGAGGTACAAGATTTAGGTTCAGCATGTAGCAAAAGCAGTGTAAGTTTACTTTATATAAAGAATAATGATCATATTACATAATGTATGAAAATATATGTTTTAGGCTGTAATATCAAATGTTTTAAAAAATGCTAAAGACATGCTTACAATGATAGTAACAATGACTGGTTACTTAACAAATACCATTTCAACGTGTCAAGAATTTGTAGCATCTTCTCCTGCAAATTTACGAATGTCTTCTAATTCTACTGGAAGTAAGATATATTACATATTGTTTTGCATATTCATTTGCTTATTCTTAAATATTACTTTTAACAGCAGCAAGTATTTTAGGAGATGGAAGTAGAAGATTATCCCCAAAAGCTCCAACTAAAGGAGTTGTGAAGCCTATGGTGAGCGGTCACACCATTACAAAACCTACCATTAATTTAAGTAGGGTAAATATGCAACATATTAATAATTCCTCAAGCTTAAGTATAATACAAGAAGTAACATCACCCCCTGGAAATCGAGAATCAAACAGCCCAAGGTCTTCTGGTCATGTAACTATGAGGCAACATAGAAATGTATATATTTTATTAAAATATGGAAGTTATTATATTTGGAACATTAGATGTTATATCTAAATCGATTAAACGTTATAGGAAGACGCCCGCGTATATCGAATGCCTGAAAGATTAAAGGTTGCTTCACCAAGACTTAGTGGTATGATATTTCACTTTTATTAATGTAATTATGAACGTAATGCAAACTAGTTCCATATCGTAACACGAATTTACAGATGAAAGCGAGCGACGATTAAGTAAAAGAAGTAACAGACGTTCTGGAAGAATATCTGGAAGACTATCAGGAAGCCTTTCGAAATCGAGAAAATTATCAGTGGGTAATAGTACTCCTAACAGTATTCGCACTCGTAACAGCATCGAAAATTTCGAAAATATAGGAAATCCTAGAGTAAAACTTAACGATGTATCAAAGTTATTGCAAAATTCTCAAAGTATTAACATTCGAATGGTTTGTGTCAATAAATCTTCATTTCTTTAAATGCAATTAATGAAAGCTTAATCAAATTCACTTTCGCATTAACTGAATTTATTTACTCTATAGTTGACGGAGAATCGAAATAGTGAAAGAAATGAAACTTTAGAGAATAATGTCAGTGTAAATCTAGAAGATTCTCAAACAAACAGCGAAACACCAGAATCGTCACCTGATAATTCAAAAAATAATAGTAATAAAACTATTGGAAACGAAAATGAGGAAATTGGTAAAAACAAAGATGGTACTTCAAAGACGCAAGAAAATATTAGTAGAACACTAATTACATCGAATTTAGAGGATCCTCTCGAAGGACCAAGTTGGTTATATAATAATTCTTCTTCCGTGCCTTCAATCAAGTATAACATACAACATACGTTTCATTCGTTTGGAAATAAGGACAAAAAGACTGACGAAGTAAATATTTCTAATAATGATAGTATGGATACAACTTTAAAAGCAACTGAATTAAGTGATCCCTCGGATAATGAAAACAGTATGCAGGAAACTTCGCGGTTATCAATAACGAACAAACGGGAAAGGTATAATTTAAAAAAAGATAAAGAAATAAATAATAGAAATGAATACCAAGTTGTTCAACGGAATATAAACAACGATACTTTTGATAATACAATTTCGACTGATTTAACGTTTACAAACGAGGACGAATATAAAGTAGAAAATGAAGCCGCAGAAAATTTTTCAAATTTTGTTACGCAAAGGCGAGTTTGTTTAAGAGACGAGGATGAAGATGATTTTACTTTAATGTACATGCGACAACCGAACATGAATTTTGATATAAGCGATTTAAAATTACCAGTTTTAGAACAATCTGCACTGAAGCCAATTGTTCTGGTTGAACCAGAACCGGAAATAACCACTAGTATTAAGCTAATACCTCAAATTGGTCCTCTTCCATCTGCTTCAAACGATAGTTTAAACGAATCTATATTTGATCGATCAACAGTAAAACTGCCGGTATTGAATGACAATGAGAATAAAAAAAAAAAGATGATGAAAGTCAAGAATCGAACTTCAAGGGAGTCTTCTGAATTTGTTGAAAGTACACCACCAGGTGACGGGAAGAGTACTAGAAAGAAAACAAATAAATCCGTGAATAAAGATCCAAGTGCCGCTAAAGTAGTGTTACAAAAATTGAACGAGTACGATGTTAAATCTAGAACACCTTCTCCTGAGGTATCACTTTCTCAAGATTCTACTAAATCTTTGTAAGTATGGAGCAACTGTTATGACATCTAATGTCATTTATTATCCACATTCAATTATGATTATTTTATTTATAGAAGTCCCTATTCGAGAATGGAGAACTCGAGTGATTCAGAAAACAGTAATACAAGTATAAATAGTATGTATGCATTGAATCGTCCTAGACGAAAAAGAGCTCCGACTGTTTTTCATGAACCAAATTTAAAAGCGTGAGTAGTTTATTTTCTGTTTAATTACAGCTATAACTTAATTTAATGAATTATAACCGATACATTGTTTCTTAGGAAATTACGAAGGAATTAATGTACCATGAATGATGATTAAAGATATGTTATGTGTTTTTGAAACACATTTCATAATGTACATAAAGTGTCAATTCATGTGACAAATAAATACATCCGCAAGAACACAGGAATTAAAACAATTTAATTCTGGGAATATAATCATAATATAAATTACATTTGTTTTATAAAGTGTTCCGCTTCCATTGTTGCGCACATTTTTGTTATATTCACTGTTAATTATTTACAGGAGATCGACATGTCTTAATATGATCATCGTTCTAATAATTTGGCTTCCTTTAGTAGTATCGTTCGTATATTGTACTTTTTGTATCCTTAACTAATGTTATAACGAATAAATACAAATTTGTAAACCTTTAATATCTCTTTAATGGTATATCGTATTTTTCATTTAATTGAGAAAAAAGCGCAGTTCTTTAGGCGTTTGATAATAATTTGAAGAATGATTTGAAAATGATCGATCTTTGCTATTGCACTCAGAGAGGTCGCTTCAGTGCATAAATAAAAAAAGGTTAGGTCTCAAGCAAGAGGTGTTATGTATAATGGATTTAACCTTCTCTATCCCCGGCTGACATGCCTATAGTATGGCCAGCGTAGAGGCGGAAATTAATTATGTTTGTTCAATTTCAAGATGAAAAAAAGTAGCTGGCATCGCTTCGCCCACACGAGCAAACAATTAATGCCTGATTTTACCTGATAGTTCATCAGTTTAATGAAATTTCTAACTGCGAGGGTGGGGCGATCATCCCCATTTACTCCCACTTTCTGAATTTACCCCTGAATGAAGCTGGTAATGACGAAAAGAAAAGAAATAATGCTTCTCAGTTGCAGAATAATTGGAAACTACATTATTTCTGAGAAAATTAATTGAATAGCTACCTGATATCAATTCTAAGGCGTGGGTGTACATACGCGGAACTTTCTGTAACTAAAAGTCTAAACTTGAGGTCAACGCTTAATTTGCATAACAAATATACGTGTATTATGAAGTTGTTTTCGTGTTCGTTGTTTCGTATTGCTGATCCTATGACGTTCCAAGAAATAAAGAAAGAAAAGAGTGTCTGAAAGTAAATCTATAATAATCCTGGCGATGTATAGTACGAAATAAATACATCCTACGATACAACGGGAACGAATAATTTATACTACAATATGAAATGTAATAAATCTCTTTTACTATGGAAAGTAAGACCATGAATCATACTAATCTTGATGTTTTTGGTACCAGGAAACTTTATCACTTCGTAAACAAATTACCTGAAGAAGGTTAATGACACCCCGAAGGAAGTAAACATTTTACCTGCTCGAAGGGGTAGTTACCAAACCTTATAATCGTACAAGTAGTACCTACTTCGATGGTTTCTACTACTTCTGAAATACGTTGATTTTAATTATTAAAAAACATAGGGCCCAATTTTAATTAATAAAAATCGTCGAACTCTAGTTATAGAATTCCAATGAATTAACATTAATTAAGATTGCGGAACAGTTTTGCTTGAGATACGACTAGTCAATTACAAGCATTATGCAGTGAATGCAAGATAACGCGAAACAATCGTGATTGGTGTATTGACTTATAGCTCGTCGATACGAGTTTATGTAATGGATGTGTGTATTAGCGTATTCGTTCATGCGAGCATCATTACAGTATATAGTTAGAATCTTAAAGCGTAAAGCAATAGAATCACTCCAATAAACCTCGATATCTTTTACAAGCTCTCTTACTTTCGTTTCGTGGAAAGCATTGCGTCGCTAAAAAAAAAAAGAGAAGAAAAAAATTAAGAGAACGAAACGTTAAAACAGTCTGCAACTATCAACAGTTGTTGAATACGAAATACGAAACGAGCTGGTATCGTAACACGCGCTGCGAGAACGTGAAAAACACCCACTAGCGTGGGAGTGGAATAGTAAACTTAAAAAAAAAAGCTTCTGTACTAGCTGAACTCGTTGCGATTTAGAATGCATACTAACTCCACGAAGTAGCACATATGAACGATAGTTTAGCCAGCTGTTGTTCAATAGCGCTCGTATTATTTATGCAACATTATAGAGCACCGTTATTATCGGGGCTCGAAAATAACGCGAATTTCAACAAGTAAAAGTTGTGTCTTTAACGCGCGTACCGGGTGTTCAAACTCTCCCTCCACGCTGACAATAGTGTAACGATGCGCATGCGTCGGCCATTTCCTAGTAGCGCCGATTGTTGAGCCAATGAGGAGTGGCCAGTGACGCCACTGTCTACCAATCGGATTGGCTGTCAGTGACGACTTTGCTATTTTTAGTGGACGTGAGTCACGGGATATAAGGCAGTACGTTTAGTTGGGTGTTCACAAGTTGCCGAGACATCGTGCTGTGCGGCTGAGTGACATCCGCATTCGACGTACGTTGCAGACTGTTCTAGAGGTGCACACGCGCAGAACATCACGTTCGTCGGATTGCGTGTCGTGAGTCATTGTTGTGTTGACAGTTGAACCAGGTCGGTCCTCGTGTCACCGTCGGCCACCTAACAGGCGTACAGGCAGGTCGCATTTTTGTACGCGACGCGTTTTATACGAGTCACCGCGCAGTAGTAGTGGTCGAAACACACCTTTTTGCGTCTCAACTACGAACCGATATCGCGAGACGATAAAATACGCCGCGTGTGTCGTAAACGGAGTTGGGTGGTTTCGAAGTGGAGTTGGAACAATCGGCTGGCGAGCCACTATCATAAGAGTGCAATAAAATAAACGAGCCACCTTAAATGAATTTCTAAACTCGGCCGGGTATGGTTATGTAACGGTAGTGAAAAACTAGACACGGGAGTGTTTGGTGAGAAAGAGAAACATTTTGAGCTAAGACTGTGTAAGAAGCGACGGTAGAGTCAATAAGACTGCTCTCCAGTCGCACGAGGCTCTTTTCCTATACGAGACAGGAGCTAAACTTTTAGTTGGCCACGCAGTCAGTTTCGCGGCATCGATGGTGCGAAGTTCGACGACAATGGAGCAGACGTTCTACGAGGAGACGAGCGTCTACGGCGTGGTGAATCGCGAGAACAACGTGGGCCAATTGAAGCGTAATCTTACATTAGACCTGAATGGATGTCAGAGACAGGGCCCGCAGGCGAAGAGGCCACGACTCGGACCTCTGCCACCAGCGCTTAACAACGTGGCACCTATTTTAAGCTCACCGGACTTGAACATGTTGAAACTGGGCTCGCCGGAACTGGAGAAATTCATCATCGCTCAGCAAGATAGCCTCGTAACGAATTTACCAACGCCCACGCAGATCTTGTTCCCTAAGGCGGTCACCGAGGCGCAAGAATTGTACGCGCGTGGTTTTGTCGAGGCATTGAACGAGCTCCATCATTCGGACAGTTCGCAAGAACCTGGTAGTATCCATGGAGCAACGTACACGACTCTGGAACCACCTAGCAGCGTGCAGAGTACGGAATCGTCGGTGAGCCAAGGTCTAATGCAGATCAAGGATGAACCACAAACGGTACCTAGCGTGTCGAGTTCGCCACCAATGTCACCGATCGACATGGAGAACCAGGAGAGGATCAAGCTGGAGAGGAAACGTCAGAGGAACCGCGTGGCAGCGTCCAAGTGTCGCAGACGCAAATTGGAGCGCATCTCCAGGCTCGAGGACAAGGTTAAACTACTCAAGGGCGAGAACACGGAATTAAGCGCCGTGGTGCATAAGTTAAAGGAGCACGTGTGTCGATTGAAGGAGCAGGTGATGGACCACGTGCATTCGGGTTGCCAGATCATGGCCGTGTCCGGTCAATTCTGAACCGACGACACCTCCCTGATGGGACTCTCCAACGTGTATTGTTTTATTGGACGATGACCCATACTTCTGACCGAAAGGGAAAATCTCCCGCCAGAGGAAGCTTCCATGGGAATTGGTGTCGTCGCCCATCGAAAAAACGTCGTTTTCATTTCACGGCCTCCTCGTTTCCGGGATAAAGAAGGACAGTGAACATGTGTAACGGCGTGAGAGAAACAGGGAGTGCCTTGATGTGCCGTCGCGAGATAAAGATGTAAGCGCTTTCCAAAAAGGACACGAAATATGTACAAAATACCATCTGTATCTGTGTGGGGGGCTCGTTCACGCACGTGAAATGCGTGCCGTGTGTGTGTGTTGGAGGGCGATCGTGAGAGAGAAAGGAAAGGACGAAAGACCAGGATAGAGATAGGTAGAGAGAGGGGGAGCACCTTGAACAGTGCATTGAAAAGGAGGAGTAGGGGCGTAGAAGAGCGACGAGGATCGACGAAGAAAAGGAGAGAGTGGGTGGGACTTGGTGGAGGAGAGAGGGACCTTGCGGCGCGGCCATTTTGGAGAACCGCGAGTACTGGCGGGAGATTCGAATCTCCTGGCCATTAGAATTTTTCCATTCTAATAATGTATATTCGCCGAGGGGGGGGAAAATTTTCTGCGACGGTCGATCTGGTCTCGATTCGTTGTTTTTGCAGGCTCGATCGCGCCGTTCTTTCTTTCATTTTTCTCTCGAGGAGAATAATAATACCTCTTTGCATTCTTTGTAATCGATCCACGTAGATTGTGATCGCTTGCGTTGTTTCTGTTTCTTTTTTAACGAACGCGTGCTATTAGTGAGTAAGATCGTCGTTAATCGCGAGAACTTCCGAATCGTAATTCGATTCGAGGATCGATTTAGAACGATCCTTGTTTGTTCAGGATTTCGTGGCAATCTTGTTTTCTTTTTTTCTTTTTAACGTTCAACACGTTCGCGAGACACAGATACTTTTCATCGTTTCTTTCCATCTTTCTTCTTTGTCTCATCGAACAGCAATTTTTAATCGAATCAAAAGATGCTTCTCTCGAAGAATGCTCGTAGATTGTATGTAAATAAAAGATACGCTATCCACGTATTCACGCGCAGAGTAACAACTAAAATTAGGCTAATTGTAAGATCCATTCGGGAGGGACGAATGTGTCAAATGCGTGAACAAAAAGAGGCGAGATAAACAACCGAGAAACAAAGTGCTTTCGTATCGATTGCAATCGATAGTAACAGAGCTGTTTTTCTGTTTTCTTTTTTTCCGGTGCGTATAGGACAAATCAACAACGAGGATTACGATCGTTGTAAGGTGCTGTTCAGACTCTTCGTTCAGTTTCTTTTATTATACTCTGGTACTTGTTTTGAAATTGAAAAACGGCGAGCTTACGAGATTCTTCGATTGCAATCGATCTTTCAGGGTGGAAACCCTCGTTGAACCCCCGTTCTTTTTTATTTTATAATAGGACAACCATTGTTTTAAGGCTGTACAAAATAGGGTAACGTTTGGAGGAATTGCGGGCGTTGAGGTCACCGTTTCGGATTAGATCTTTATTTTTTTGCGTTTCGATGCATCCCTGAAGAAATTCGAACACCTTATGAATGTCGTGTCTAACAGCTTATCGACGAATGACAATTCTCTATTTTTCAAATTTTACAAAATCTATGCCTTTTGCAGCGAAAAAAAAAATATATTTTCAAATTTACCTAAGAATTAACTATCGAATTAATTAGCGTAATCCGTGCAGATAAGGTGTTAAGATGTCGACTTTCCGCGATAAGAATACCCCAAATCTTTCCCTTACGTTTATATTCGTAGCTTTTAAGGCGGAATCTGCACGTAACAAGTCGTGTTCCCCATTTTTGTCGTTCTTTCTTCACGGTTCCCCGATACTTTTCATCGCCTCGGAACCTTCTTTTCGTCATATGTGCATCTAGTCTTGTCCAGTATGCCCTCGTAACTTATGCACACCGCGTGCTACGTGCAGATCCGCATAAAATGTACACGTACATATACACACACACGATTCGATTGTGTTACCACATGCGACGACAAGATGCATTTAAGGGAAACAGAAAGGATATTGAAAGGGGGGTTCTTTTGTTCGGATACGTTCAAGGAATACCGAACGATTCATTATTTTCTTTGCTTTCTTTTTTTAATAAAAGGAGCACGTGGTAACAGAATCGTACAGGTTCACCGTAGTGCCATTAAGCACGGAATCACCGTAATAAGGAAAATTAAAAACGCGCAACCTTTTTCGAGGAAAATATTTTGTTAGAGATAGGTTTCAACCCTTTGCGGTCCAAATTGTGCTTCCCAATTGTTAGAATATCTGTGAAATTGAACAATTCTGACTGACATCGTTAAGAATATTTATTAATGAAATTTTCTCTCTTTATTCCTCTTTTTTAATTCTTTGACTAGGTTCGTAATCCTCGTTGCAGTCAACGTGTGTTAACTGAAAGTTGTTTTAAATATGTTTGATTTGTTAGCAAAGTTTGATCTAACGTATAGAATAAATGGTCCGCAAAAGGTTAATTGATAAACTCGATGTAACTCGAGGAGATTGCGATTCGAGGAAAGAAGAGAATTAATTGATACGCTATTTTTGGACACTCGTATAAGGGATCATCGGAACGATCGGTTCAAACGAAGGGAAGGAATGCAATATTAAAGAAATTTCTTTTTTTTTCTTTTATAATTTTATTATTCATTGATCTATCGCTTCCCCTCCTTTGACAAACGACTTTCGACACATAATTTGACAATTTCTAACGCGTCTACAGGATGTAATTTAACACATTGACGCCAAACTTATATGGAATGAAATTTTATTATTTTGCATGAAAAATGGTCAAAAGTTATATTATTCTATTGAAAAATTTCAAGAGTTCCGAAATATAATTTTTCAACGCTTCAACGATTGATTACAAATTATCTTTTATTTATTCCTCTACGAATCTTCTTTTTTATTGTATTATTCCCAATCGTCATTGAAGCGTTTGTCGAATGTTAAATTTCATCCTGTACATTAATCTCTGTTAACATTATAATATAAGTTACGTTTTCTCTTGCTTAAAGCCACGTTTCTTTTTCTTTAATTTATTCTGAGATCATATTCGTTGTATTACGAGTGAGTTCCCTCGATGAAAGGTCTCTTCGGTGTATTCTTTTTTTTTGTAGTATTCGAAAGCTTTTTACCTGGTAGAAGAGGAAGAAAGTAAGACATAGAGAGAAGAAGGTAAAAAGGAGAGAATTTCGCAAGTCTCCTTTGTACCTTTTTTCCCCCGGAGGTCTTTTGTGATGGAAATACAATGAAGTAGAAAGAAATTATGAATCTTAGAGACGTTTCTTCGTCTCGGGAATCAGCCATCACGTACGGCGTGCCTTTTTCTCAAAGTAATAAAAAAATAATCAAAAGGAAAGGAGATACCGCATCGACAAAGATTTCAAGTTCTTCTCGAACTTCACGATCTTCCCTTTTGTTCTTTATTTTTCGTTAAGGGAGAATCGTGGCGGTTCGAACACTTGTTATCGCGAAATTTTTGATCTTTCTTTTAACGGTTAAGAGTTTGCGAAGAGACGATATTATTAGGTCGTTCCATAAACGATTAACTTCTATCTCCACACTTTTTCAAGAAATTTTTGTGCAATCCTTCAGGCAAATTTCCAGCATAGAAAATTGTTAATAGGAAATACAGAGAAATAGAAGTGAGGAAAATATTATTTATGGAATGATTTAATAATGATATGCCAGTTAATTGGTAAGCGAGAAAAGCGATGGCACAAAAAAAATGTATGAAAGTAAAGCAAGAAACCACAATGTGATTTAGTCAGTAAGCAAAAACCCCAATATATATATATATATATAAATAAATAAATAAATAAATAATAGTGATAACGGTGATAATGACACGACGATATGCACCGCATATATAGAGTTATATGTAACCCTATACATGAAGAGTAAATATTGCTATTTGTAATGTAATAATATTACGAAGATAAATATATATATATATTTATATGTATGTATATAAATATATAAGCGTAGATATATATTTGTATATGTACATATTCAGGCGTATATAAACATATGTATATGTTATATATACAAACGAAAGCGGAGAAATCTTTTTTTACGAATAATTTTATTTTTGAATGAAATACGATGAAAAAATAAAATTTCACTATATTAAACGTAACTTGTGGCGATTCTTCTTCGATACCTTACCCCCACCCCCCTTTTTTTTCTCATATGGAAAATTTATTTATTAAGTAGTCGAAATTACATAACGCATTTCCGTTTTTATATTTCGTAGCCAATGGAACGAATTCCGGTACACGCGATGCAGGGCTCTCCCGAGGAGAGAAACCGGAATTCCAGCTGGAACTCGCGTATCCCATCGCGAGCCGCGTTAATTATCGCAATTGGCTAATTGGCTCAATTGGGAAAGTTCTCGGTAGGAATTAAGATCGGTGCAACGGCTATCGTAAATTTCTGCGGTTAGTTCGCGAGCGGATTACAGCAACGCTTTCACAAATCTCGATGTAAAATCAAAAAATTGACCAATATTTGTTCGCGTGAATAATTTCAATTCAGACGATTAGAAATGAAACACTTTTTTTTCGATCGCTAATGAAATTGAATTATCTTTTCGAATGTTTATCACTCGTGCCTGGACGAGGACAATTAATCAAACGCATGGACGATATCTTTTCAATCGTACGAAATACTTGAACAAACATCGCGTTCCAAGTAATTCCATGATTTATGGAAAGCGTTATATTAATAGTCAATTACAATGTTGCCTCTATCGGTTGATTCAGGCCCTGTTCGAGTCGTTCATCTCCATAGATCTTTCAGGAATAACGCGGCTCGTAAACGAACGCTCAGAATATGAGAAACGAGCGTGTACGTATGAGGCTCATGAATAATTCACGGCAATCGGTCTTGCTTTTGTATCTTTCGTCCGTGTTCGCTCGATTGAAGTTAAATTTCTACCACGGGAACCGCGTGTTTTTCTTGCAAACTTGTTTTCCACCTTCTTCTAAGAAAATTGGACGTTTCTTAATTGAAAGAAAAAAAAAAAAAAAGGAAATTACGATTTTCGATCAAAATCAAACGTGCTATTGCAAGGGGAAATATCGACGAGTTATCGTCAATATTATCAGAACGTTATCAGCCGGACTGTGTTGGTATCAGACGTAACTTATCGCGAGAAGCAAAGCAAACATCGTTGATCCTTTGTGGTTGCAACGTTAATAAACGAAAATTCCTCCTCCCAAATCCACAGATACGAGTAATCTGACGTTCACCAATTTAGAATAGTTCATAAACCCGGGTATTAATGTAGGATGAAAATTGAGGGGAACGAATAATTGAAATTCAAGAAAATAATTTTAATTAAGAAAAATAACATAAAGATTACATAAGATGAAATAATTAAGAAAAATGTAACGCTACAAAAACAAAAACGCATCCCCTCGGATCGTGCCCCCCCGGTCGTCGAATCTTTCGAAGATACCAGTCTCCATCATCTTCCCAAATAATTTCGACCGAATCGACTAATTTGGTCATCGATCAACATCTGATCGTGTTCAATTCGTTCGGCAGGAAATCCAATCGGAATCGTCCTTGTATTCTTATCCAATTGGCGAGCAAATAGACGAAATGAAATGGTGAAGTAACAGCATCGATTGATTGCCAACGGGCATCGCATAATTTCCACGAAGTCATTCGTACGACCCCGTTCTCTAATTGGTCGATCTTTAATTAACTCGTTCATCGAGGTGTACCTTGTTAATATAATTATCCTGATCTCCTAGGAGAATCTGGGAGATAGGAAATGTGAATTAACTGGGACGATCTTCTAGCACGATACTTTATTTTTTCTTTTTCAATCATTTTCTTTCATTCAAAAAGAGGAACGTCTTTTTCTTGCCCCTCCGTTTAACCTTGGCTCCGTTGGAATGTAAAAGATAAGTGGACGTAGACAACAGCCACGAGAGGTTTCTTTTTTAATGGAAATCCCGTGTACGTGTGCGACATTGATGTGCAAAATAGAAAACTGAAAGAGACCGAGGTACGAAATAATGCGATTGCATAAATAAAAATTGCATTACTCGAAAATGACGATTATTTTGCAACAGGACACGCCGGTATATTTATAGATTTTCCGCGTAATTGTGGTATTTCTGCGCTTTGTCCTTTTGCAGGATACATTTGTGCACGCGCATAGACACGCTTAATGCGCGATTTCAATGCGATTCTACTCTTAATTACGCCTCGTTTCTATGCACCGCGGCCGTGAACGTCCGACACCTACGGCGAAGAAGTGTATCCTCGACGATAGCTTTGATTCTTTTTCTTCCATCAAACAACTGCGGTATTTTGCATATGTTTTTCATTTGGTTATTTCGCATGAAAATGGTACTCCTCTTCAATGGTATTCGCGTCGGAAGGCTCGAACAGAACGAGCTAAATAGCGCGCATTTCTCGGCGATCATTTATGGTACGTTGCCGATAAATATGAAACAGAGTGCTCTGTAGGTCAAGCCAATTCTCGCCGCATTCCGTGTCGAAAGTGACGGTTAAATTTAACGTTTATCACCGATATCTTCCACGCAGCGATTTACGCGTTCGCTATAGCCGAAAATTCAGTTTCTCTGGGCGGAAGCGAGAATTAATTGAAAACTCTTGAAACTCGGCAATAATTTTGGTAAACGTCTACAATTAGGGCCCTAATGAAAAATCAATTGAAAAGAGGTAAATTTTATGTATTTTTGCCGCTCGAATCCAACACTGTTGATAAAATTTCGTGGTCGCTTGTATTTTTCAAGATACATAGGTTAGGTTAGGTTATCAGAAGAAATATAACTTACCTCACAGGAAAAACTTGACCAGTCAACAATAGTCTCCTTGGAAAGAATAATTTCAAAGTGTGAATTTAAATTAAGTATTAAAAGTGGTACGCCGATTCTAATCTTGATATCACGACGATTGCTAGTTTTATATTGGATATTTTCTCATGATGCGTCCTCCGCGCTGCATTCTATGAACAGGAATTAGAACCGAGCTAGGAGACTATTGTTGACTGGTCAAGTTTTCGCCGTAAGGTAAGTTATATTTTTTCTGATAACCTAACCTAACCTATGTAGGTTAGCGACGCCCTTTAAAAGTATCGTCTACCTCACAATGTCATTAACTTCTGAAAATAATGATTTTATGTCAGTATTTACCAGAATATCTTAGTAAATACAAGCGACCCACAAATTTTATCAACAGTTTTAGATTCGGGGGGCAAAAATACATAGAATTTACCTCTTTTCAATTGATTTCTCGTTGGGGCCCTAATTGCAGACATTTACCATAATTTTATTCATCGAGTTGTTAGATAAGATCAAGAATTTTTTAATGAAAAACGATTGAGAATTAAAAAAATTTCACAATTTTTCAACGATAAGGAGGAGGAACGGTGGGGAAGATTGATGATCCAAGGAGGATCGAAATCTCTCGCAAAGGCGGCTCGTCGCGGACAATAATTACAAATTACACTGGCGCGGGCGCGAGTACAAGAATCGATGGACGTATAAAACGCAAGAAAAAGATAGGCTTATGCAATACCAAGAGAGCCGCGATTCATTAGTGCCACGAGTCCGGTTTCGAGTTGAAATACGAGGAGGCAGAAATAGCCTTGTCGGAGAACGGTGCCCGTTGCAGAAAAACAATAACCGGCCACTGAATTTCCTCCATTGCGTTAACCAGTTACGGAGAATCCATTATTTTTCCTTAGTCGCGAAAAATTCTCGACGGAACGTGATTTTCAATTTCCGCAAAGTTTCGTATAGGAGAAGTTGGAGGGGGGTTTAAGATTCGATGGAAACCTTTCGAAAATCGACGTTCGATCGAGGCCCGGCGGTGTTTCTCGCTCGATCGAAGCTGCAATTAATCGATATCGAGCTGGATTACGCGCCGAACAGCTCGCGGCTGCTCCGAATGGGTAATTCGACTCGAAGGTCGCTCGCGGTGCAGAAGGTTGAACGCGTCTAGATCTCCTTAACTGATGCAACACGCTTTGCTAAGATGGTGAAAAATGCGAGGACGATCGCAGATACCCGTACATAGCGCGGCTTAGTAGCCGGCAGCTAGCTCGCTATTATCGCGAATTCTCGCCACACTGTTGCACACCACTCTGCAAGTGTGTCGCGTTATTCAAGCACTGGTGTGTGATTCGTGTCCTTGAGTTTCCTTCTTACTTTATTTTCTTCCGTTCGAATTATTAACTCCCCGCGTCTCCCTTGTGAATATTTTACTTTTTCCCTGTCTGTATCATACGAGCGAAATTAATATACAGTGGCTGATCAAATTATTAGAGCCAGTCGCATAAATTGATGATTTTACATAAAAATGATCAATCTAGTTAAACGGAGTTTTTGTTATTTTTTATTAATGATGTATTTTAATGATGGTTGTAAAGTTACGATACACAGTTGAAAAAAGTGAAAGTTCTTGACTGGCCTGGAAATTCTCCAGACCTCAAACCCATTGAAAATTTGTAGGAACGTTTATTATCTATATAAATAAAAATTAAATGCTATTCGTCATATAAATGCTGGACCGATTTGGCTAATTTTTTTTTTTAATGTTCGCAATAGCCCGAATAAGGTTTTTAGGGAAAGAAAAATTAGAAAAGCTGCCCGGAAAAATGGAAAACTCGGGAAAAAATGAAAGTGCTTTTTACTATGGGATTTTTGTAAGAACTGAAGATCATAATTCACGATTCGAACGATGGATATGCGTAATTCTTTTTTTGTTTTGTTCGTTATGGTCCTGGAAAAGTTTTCAGGAAAAAAAATTCGAGACAATTACAAAGGAAAGTCGGAAAATTTGGACAGGGCAACGTCCGTCGGGTCAGTTAATTAGTAATAAATGTTAATTGATTTGATAGAAGTGTAGGCCAGAAATAAAGCAATCAAAATGAAAAGCATCTTTTGTTTTCCTTTTATTATTATAATTAATTTTAGTTTAAGTTTATACAAAATGTTTAATTTAATTTTTGTTATAATAATTCATTTTAGTTAAAGTTTATAAGAAATGTTCAATTTAATTTGTACTAAATATTTTATTATTACAAATATATATATAATAAAAATTAAACTAAACATTTCTTATAAACTTTAACTAGAATTAATTACTATAATAAAAATTAAATTAAACATTTTGTATAACTTAAACTAAAATTAATTATAATAATAAAAAGTACAAAACAAAAGGTGTTGGCTCTTCTAGCGGGACGTTACACATACGTAAATATAATCTTTTAAATGTACTTGTTTATTTTTATAAATATTTTTTTGAATATTAATAGTGAAGAATTATTGATTAAAAGTTATTCAATATAAACACCTTAAAATTGCGGCCCTGGTTCTAATAATTTGATCACCCACTGTAGAGTCATAGTCTTAATCACTTAGGCGCGAATGACGTATATATACGTTCCGTAAAGTGCTGATTAACTGCTCTATGCCGATCAGCTGGTTTTTCGTTCGACATTGAGTAAGTACTTACTTTTTCCATCCTTTCATGAAACCACGCGTCGCAAATTGCAATATAGAAATACAAGAGTCCGGTTCCTTTTTTCTGCAAAATTTCATTTCATCCGCGTTTTAATAGCAATTGATGTTTATTACAGCTTTCAGAAAAAAAGTCAACATCGAAAGACGGATCCTGTTTATTTCATCGCGGTGATAATTGATGTGTATCGATGAAAAAATAATTTTAGCGTGACGCAAATAAACCTTGAACATCGCTTGATTAACGTCGAGGAGATAAGAAATTAAATATAGAATCGAAGCGGGCGTGTTCGAACTGATAATCAATTAATATGCAATTAAAATCAAACGTCGTAAAATTCAATGTTTCTACGGTCTCGAAAAGTCTGGTACACATCTACGCCTTTCGTTTCTGGCCTTTGATCGAAAAAAAAAAAAAAAAAAATACGTGATTAAGAATTGACGCGATAACTTTTCCCACACAAATGAATAATCGACGGACGATCATCGATCTCCAAGGTTGTGGAAAAGCACTCTTATCGTTTAGTGCGTTTCGCGATAGACTTCTCGTCGACTGATAAAAGGAATAATCGTGTACACGGTACACTATACTTTCGTTTCGTTATTTTCAATAAATTGTTTATTTCACTCGTAGATACACGCGAAAAATATCGTGTTCGTTTAGGAATCAGGTGTTCAAATATTATCGTTGAAGAGAGCTTTCAACATGGTTCAATGCAAATATTTTTTTCGCGAATACACGCGCATCTGGCAGATCCCCGAACCACGTGTGACCGAGGAGCAACAGATTTCATTTTATTTTCCCAACGATTGCTTGTCAATTATCAAACGGACGTAAAAATTCTTTGAACTCATAGCCCGGAGTGATTTAAATAACGCAGCTGCACTATCGAAAACGTTCGTTGCCACACTAGGTCACTGGTACTCCATTATTCCTTTCAGGAATTATGGTATTATTATCGGAACTTACACATGTACGTACCATGCTCTCGGCTTAACGACTAATCTGACGGCCTTTAAGCCCGCTTTCCAGCGACACGACACCGGCGATTCAATGTAGATTTCCTTTGTTCCCTCGTGTCGAAGGTACAGGCCATTCCACCGAATAAATTAAAAAAAAAAAAAAACACAAAATATCGATACTTTGATTAAGGGGCTATACCAGTGTGACCGCTCTAAAATTAAGTGATTTTCGGGAATTTTTTTTTTAAAGAAATATTACATCCAATGTTTTCAAATTTCAAGGATGTATTTAGTTAGAAATCATATATCTATCATAATTTTTTGGTACAAAAATAACAAAAAACAAGCGACTTATGCGCTATCTCTCAGGGCTCCAAAAAAAAAGTTGCTCCACTGCTGCAGTGATTGCAGTCGCCTGAGTGCTTGAAATGAAAAATAACAAAAACGCTGTTAAACTAGAAGGTATTCTCCGTACCATGAACTAGGATTTTTGAAAATTATCAAAATCTGACAAAATGGAGAAGTTTTGAAGAAGAGTTTGGAATTTAGCCTAAAAAAATAGTAGTTTTTTTACTGCCAAATTGACATTTTTCATCCAATCAAAAAAATCCTAGTTCATGGTATGATAAAACATGTACTGAACACGCTGGAAAAGTTTCGAGTCGATGCAATAATTTGTATTCGAGTTAGAGCTGCAGCAAATTTGAGAAATACCGTTTTCTCAAAGCTACTCTACTCTGTAGAACACTGCCATTCCTAAACTATTTGAGATTCGACCTTAAAATTTTAATATCATATTCTAGAGAGTATAGACTTTCAAAAAATGCAAAAAGAAAATCGGCGTTACACTGATATAGCCCCTTAATGATACTAATTGCAACGTGAAATGTGTCAATTTGGTTAAAATTAATAGTCCATCCTATGACGTTAAGTTACCATTTTTCAAAGTACATAGTTCCCGAGTCCTTTTATTTCATGAAATTTAATCAATTTCAATGACGAATGAAATTGAATCGAGGAATTGCAAATTTCTCTTTGTTCTTGCTCGTGAAACTGCCTGTAACCGCGCGTGCTCTTTGTTTACCCGCGCATTCCATCGTAGAACCAACACATCGGGGCGAGATCGCGAGCGAACGCTGCATGCGTGCATGCGTGCGAATGCATTTGCATTAGCCGCGAGTTATCTACATCACAAAGCGTCGCCGCTTAGTTGGCCTACTTATTCCGCGCCTCGACGCTTAATAACGCGACCAGCGTCCAGATAACGAGAAGCGTCCTCGCGTTTCGTCACCGAATTTCCAGAAAAATCCGGAAATTAACGCTGCGCCCCAAAAAAATGACTCCGCAGAATTTCAAGTAAAAAATGAGCTATGATAAATATGGACTCTCCGGAGTATTATTTTTAATTACATTTAAGAGAGTGTGAAACGAGGTCCCTTATCGATGAAAAGAAAAAAAAAAAAAAGAAAAAAGAGAAATGTGACACCCGGACACGTGAACGCGTTTCGAAAGAATCATTCGAATGTAAATGGAGAGCTGTGGGTGCATAATGCCTCTGTTCCTTGTATGCTGATCCGTCGACCGTCCGAAATATACGACACGAAAGTGGGCTTCCAATTTTCTTATGCTAATTTCGAGAGTCGGCCTCCATTCGGAGGGATTCCTTTTTAAACCAGCCCGTTGGTGCGCGGCAGATGCGTTTCATTCGTTTCACGTTCCTCTGCATTTGCAACAGAGGGAGGATCGTGTTTCTTTCAAAATCGAGTCACGAATTCCGCTAGTTGCAAAATAACCGCGAACCGACCGTCGGATTTGAATGACAATACCGCGGCGGTATCTTTTGTTCCGCGCTGAAATTCGTTTAGATCAGGGGTGGCCAACAGGAGGCCCGCGGAGCTAGGTCAAATGAACATAAATGTTAATTTTATTGTACAAAAAGAATATTACATCATGAGCGACAATGTGGTTAAAGGTGTAGCACGTTTGCTTGTTTTCTTTAATTAACAAGAAAACAAAAAAACAAAAATTAGGCGCGGGGCCCGGCAGGAAATAATACAGGGTGCGTCACGGAAAGCAGACGTTTTTAAAATAAATATTTCTCAGTTAATTTCTAGCGTAATTTTAATTTATTGTCACGAAATGATACATTATTACATGCAATTTTAGGCTATTTATGTATGAAAAATTATGTCAATTAAATGGTGACCATTTTGGTGAATGCAACTTTGCAGTCGCTTCCGGAAGTTCGCTACTACTCTCTTCAACAGTTCTTCGTTTATCATTCCTAGTTGCTGGCGAATGGCATCCTTCAGTTCTCCTAATGTCAGTGGCTTTCCTTCGTAAACGCGTGACTTAAGATAGCCCCATAGAAAAAAATCACACATTGAAAGGTCAGGTGACCGAGGAGGCCAAGGAACGTCACCGAATTTTGAAATGAGGCGTGCAAAGTTGCATTCACCAAAATGGTCACCATTTAAGTGACATAATTTTTCATACATAAATAGCCTAAAATGGCATGTAATAATGTATCATTTCGTGACAATAAATTGAAATTACGCTAGAAATTAACCGAGAAATATTTATTTTAAAAACGTCTGCTTTCCGTGACGGACCCGGTATTTCTGAAATTTGGCCCGCCTGGTTTAAATCGTTTCCGAGGATTGTGATGCAAACTTTGAACCCTTTCCTCTTTTTCTTAATTGGGAGAAATTGTACGATTCTTAATGAACGAAAAGAGCGCTAATTGCGTTAGCTATAAGTCTGTTTGGATTTCAATAACGCATGTACGTATATCCATCGAGTGGAGTGTTTTAAACGTTTGGTAAACAAATGGCGGTGTGCCAGGAGCGTCGCCATTGGCAGTGGACCAATTTGTCACGTGATCGGCTAACGAGCCAATAGATTTCGCGGAACGTCACTGACGTATTTAACTCGGACGAATAGCGGTCGTCGACGAATTTCAAACGGTTTTCCGTCGATTAAAACATCGTTTTCTCCTGCTTAATATTTCTCGTTTCATAAATACTCTTGTAAAACTTGTTTACTTTGAACCGGAGATAGGAAAGGATTCGGGGAACGGTACCGATATCTGACCATTTCCCTTTCGTCTGCTAAACACGAAAGAATTCTATGAAATCGTTTGCTCTTCTTCGTTTCTTCCTGGCCACAAAGAAAAGCAAAGTTTACATTAGATAAGGAGCTGTGCGTGCCGTTCGAGCGGACAGAGATTTCGAACGCTTTGTTTGAAATCGCTGACAAAGATCCAGATTGTGCGAAGCCAACAGTGGACTCGCGATAAGGGAATAGTTCGAAGGCCGTGGTTAGTTGTACCGGCTGTTTGGAGAACAAAGAAACACTCGGGGAAACTAAAGGAAACACGCGATTTTCCTGTTTAATCTGTCGCGGCGCGGTATCAAGCCGAGCTAATTACTGGGAATACCTTCGGTGATGCAAACAAAGGATCGTTGATAATCACGAGCAACGAGTACTTGATCTTAAGTTAGAGAAACAAATATATAGGTACACGAGGCATCGAATTATCTAAAATAAATAGCCATTTCACGATAGGATACTTATTACAGCTCGAATTTAATGAATAGAAGCCCTGAAATGGGTGGCACGAGGCTCTGCTCAAAGAATCCAGCAAGGTCACGCCGACCCTTCTGGACCCGTGGTTTCGAAGGCTCGCTGGGAATGCAAGATAAAGAAAAAAACAAAACCACCGAATATCCTCTGTGAACCACTTCCTCGTTCTAAAGTTTCGAGCAGCAACCGTATCTAACACTTTGGATTCTTTGTTTCTGCCTTTCCATACAAGTTCCTTCGAGGAACCAAATGGGTGTTGCTAACGTTTTTTCTTTTTTTTTATCACCCATGGTCGTTGAAGGAGAAAGAAGTAAGGGAACGAGCGGATTTACGGCGCGGTAGGTGTTTCCACGAGCACGCGAATTTTACCAGGCCGTTTGTACGAGGCTCGCTTGCAATTTCTCCCGCAATAAATACACGCACGTGACATTCTGCGCAGCAGAAGAGCTTCTCGGGGCGCTTAACCCAGAATCGCGATTATATGCGCAGCAAGTATTACGGGGCAAGTTCGTTGTCCTCACTTTCGTGTTGGTGCCCTGGCCGTTCGTTATATTAGCGTTATCCCACGGAGCTTTGTTTTCGGTTTATCTTTTCGGGGATGCACGGGGAAAGTAGCGACGGCGATGATTCCTCTTCCATTTTGTTCACGAAATGTCGCTTTAACCCTTTAACTGCGGGTACTTTTAGCACAGCTGATCGCTCTAATTTTAAATTATAGTACTGAAGTGATATTCCATTTTAAAAGATTTTTTTTATTGTATTTATTTCATTTTTATTTTAGTGGTATAAAAGCCACAGTTGCTATTTGATATTAGCAAAAATTAACACACTCGTCCCTCAGGGGTATAATTTTAGTATGTGGTTCATAAACCACATCCGTAGTTAAAGGGTTAATCCTTGAAAAGCGACGTAAACATAGATATTACTATAATTTTGAAAGTAACTGTAGGAGAGGGGAGAAAAAGGGGGTTGACAATGGACGATCCCTGCCCCAGTCACTTATACCGCAATTTGAGACTCCTATACGTATATTTGAATGCATGCCGGGCGACCGCCAGCGAGAACACTGATTCACCGATCATCTCGCCGCCACCTAGCGGTCCCCGAGCCGAACCAAAGGCGTCCGGGGAGATGAAACCTGTCTCCCCTCCACTAAACGCCTACATAGCCGTGTAAAATTTCGAAAATGAAAATAATATGAAATAGAGAAACAAATAAAAATTCTGGATTTCTTCATGGTCCGTCGTCCGACAGGATTGAGCGCAAAATAGTCGTCGTTTATTTATCTTAACATTGCTGGGAAAATTGTTAGCGAGAATAAATCAAGAGAGTTTCCTCGCCATCGCTACCGAAAAGCGAGCACACAACCACCTTGTGTCACTCGTCCATCCTCTCTTCCCTCCCGGTTCTGACAGCAATTTTCTTCTTGTTCCTATTTTATTCGCCTCCCTCTCGGCTTTCTCCTTTTCCACAGCCTTTTTGCTCCCTTTTCCCTCGCTCTTCTCGCCCTCCGCGGGAGCCGTGCTTAATTCGAGCCACTCCCGCTGTTTATTTGCACGTTTTAACTGGAAAGTCCTCCGCTGCGCACAATACCGCGAACCATTCCCGAAGGGTATATTCCGAGAGGCCCGATACCGGGTTAAACTCGTTTCTTATCGGTCGATCGTTCGAGCGGTAAGCTTGCAACTTTTAACACTTTCAAACTCCAAGAAATTTTCTATTCAATTTCCAATGGTCCGACGATAGAAGCTAAAATCATGCAAATTTGGAGTAGCAGAGTACGCGAGCGAGCTGTTAGCGCTGGTTTATTCTATTAATGCGAACTAGGTTCGAGGTAGCTAAAATAGGACAGTAGGGTATGTAAGCAAGCCGGTTTACTGTAGCGTTTATTCTGCTAACGTAAACTAGGGTTAATGCTAGCAAAAGTGGGATAACGTGTATCCTCTTCATGGAAATTTGTCTTCTGAATAAGCAGGTGGTGGGGGGGAATAAGAACGCAGAAAAGCAGCAGGTTTTCCCGCGATCGAGGCGAGAAGCCTTTGCTCGTTCTTTGTTCGTCGCGTTGCATCGCGGACTGCATCGCGCGTATCCACGCCTGCGAACTGCGCAGCGGGCTAATCTCGCTGAAAGATAAGAGAACGGCGGAGGAGGGAGGATAAACGGGCAGAGAGGGGAAGGGGGAGGTGAAGGAGCACGTGGTAGCGATGGCTAGGTCAAACGCGCACAATGCCCGAAACCGAGGCGACAGCCGCGCGGATCCAGCGTGGAAAATACATTGGGTAATTCCCTGCCGACACCCGCCGCATGCACGCTCACACGCTCACACGTGCCACCAGTATACCTCCACCATGTTTGTTGTTCGACTATTCTCGAACCTTGAAGACCTCTTGATCTTTTTGACAAACCGAAGAAACGTAAATGCTGCCGCCTCGGAATTAGAATGACCAATGTGAAAATCATAAACGGGGTCGTTTACCCTGCGATCCCTATCAACGCACAGTGGTTTATCTATTAGTAATCTAGCGGGACAAAAGTATAATAAAAAAGCATGATCCATCCGAAATGAATAAATGTTTGTCATATCATAAACGATTCTAACAAAAATATTGTAAAAAGATAACTAAGACGCGCAGGTTGGAAGATGGTGGGGGAACGCAGCGAGTTCTCCGCCAATCGCTTTCCACTTCGTCTAGAAGTATCGCCAATCAGAGCGACGATGCGCAGAAAAGAACGAAAACTGGTCTTTTCGCAGTTATGGACTATCGTGCTTATATGTATTTTATAAAAGTAACAATGGTCGAAACAAATTGTTAGAACTTATTAGTATCCGCTAAATATTAAAAGACGTACAAGTAAGTAGTAAATCAAGCTTCAGTATCTTTGAGTATCTTAATTTGTAACTGTCAGAAATAAAATATTGGCAAAAAGATCATGGAAGTTTTCAGTAGTTTTTGTTGAAAAAGCTCTACACATCCAGGGACTTAGTGGAACCTGAAACTATTTGTGCTGTTTTATTCTATTTGTTTATAGAACAAATTTTAACCAGTTATAACTGCAAATATTTGCAACTCTGCATATCAATTTCTCACCTTTTAAAAAACCCCAAAATATGAATTTGGTTTTAAAACACCCTTAACGACAAAGATGTGAAAGTTTTAAGTCTGATAAAATAGTGTTGATGGTGATTTTAATGACTTAATTAATGGTTTACGAACAACTTGCGACTTTTATCCCGCCAGATTGTCGAAACAGTCCACTGTGCAACGGGTCGATTTAATTAGCTCAACTTTCGGAAGTTTCCTTCTCTTACTGAAAAAAAAGAAGAAGTTATTTTTCTTCTGCTTCCATCGAGTAACGCGAAACGATCGAAGAGACACGTACAAAACTGTACGTGGAAACTCGACGGACACGAACGTCGAACGTGACCTGGGTGCATATGGTGCTTTTTATTTTTTTTTTTTTCCCCTCCACTCTGTGCCCGATCTTTGTGGCCGACGAGCCCGCTTCCTCCGGGTCTGACGAATGTCTGACGTTCAAGGCCGAAGAAAACGTGCCGTTCTCCCTCGAGCGAGAATTCTCGTAAGTGCCGAACGGTACGGTGTTACGATGGGTGATCAAGGTCGCCCGATGGCACCCAATGGTCTGCCTCTTGCGAAACGATCCGATATCTAACGGCTTTTAACGAAGTGACGTGGACTCGATCAAGGTTCAAGAACCGGCTATCTTAGTGGATCGCGATCGAACAAGATTCCAGCCATTTTTTTGATTTCTTTTCGATTATTTGAAAAAAATTGATAGAATAATTTATTCGCTGTTTTTCCAATCGGTGGCGATAGCCGGCCGAATTTCCTCGTGAAACTTGGCCAGGGGCCAAACACCACCGGCTTCTCTCCGCTGGACCAGTTTCTTTATCCGGTCGCCGGGCATACTGCGAGCGGATTTCGAAACGACCGGTTCTCCTTCCACGAAACGACGCGACGCGACGCACGGCTTTCGGGACGACGAAAATAAAGCGGCAGCGAAACACCCGCGATATCCTTGCAAACTTTACGATCCTGGAGCTGCCGCGAAGAAACGGCACCGGCCATTTTCGGCCACCCCGCCATCATCCCCGCGATCGATCGGCAAATGGATAACGGGAATCGATTGCACATTGTGTTCAGCTAAGAATTTTTCATACTTCAAAAGCTCATGACCCGCTCATTAATTTGAAATTAAATTCAAATTACCGGTACTTTATAATAATTCCAAGAATGTAAAAAATCTTTCCTGTTACATAATTTCCTTGGAATAATATTCTTCAGCAATTATTCCTAATCGAATATCTCCTTTTTCTTTTCAATATCAATTTAGACCTAATCTTTGATTACCCCTTGACTAATTACCAGATAATTTTTTCCGTCATTACGTTTCTGAATGAGCCTCGTTGTATAATACTTTGTTATCGTTTATATATTATTTTCACGAGACATTTGTGTAAAAAGATGAAGAGAATCGGAGGATGGGGAAAATATTCTCTTCGGAGGATCGTATACCAGCTCGGTACATCTCGTAAATTTCTTTTACGACGACGCACGATTTGCGAGCGGAAGAAGAAAAAATAGATTCATGCTGAACGATCCAAGTTTCGTCTTCCTTCTTCTTTTTTCCAAGATGTCCGATTAATTATCCCGAGATTGACGGGAAGTATCGAGGGAACAATTGTCAGGATTTCCAGGAGTCTTTCAGCCTGATCACAATGGAAAGGAAACGCGGTTTCGGCGCGGACAGGAATTTCGGTCATTAAGTTTAATTGCTCGCCGCGGCGAATAAATTTTCACGCGTTAAGCCCGTTGATAGCGTGGACGTTACGCAATCGGCAATTTATTTGCTCGCTTCGAGCGTTTCGTTTTCGTTCTCAGAGTTTTTTTGTCCCTCGCGAAGCGTTAAGTAACAACGAACACGCGCGTGGCAATCATATTCGCGGGAATATTCTAGTACGGGAAAGAAAAATAAATTATCCCGTTGCGTAATTAGAAAGTCACCGAGTCGCGTTTTTCAAACGATAGAAAAATTATTTGGGAATTTTGAAAAAGGAGATTCACCGTTTATCCAGCATCCCCGTTCCAATTCCTCGGTCACTTCCTCTCTTCGAACGATGCCAAGTGATTCTCCGCGAAATCGTTGACCGGCTTTTCTAACCTCACGATATAGTATAATATTTTGCCAAACGCGTGACTAATCGCGATGAAAGTCCGGCGTGTGCCTCGAGTCTTCCTCGAATACCCCTGCCAGCGAGCATTCTCTTCTGGCTTTGACAGTTCGTCTCGTAATCACCGGGTTTACCACGAATCCAATGAATTATTAATAACGGAAACCACAGACCGCGGTGAAAAAATGTTTTTTGTCAAAAGCATGCGAAACGACTGCCTCTGAATTGACCTAATTAGAAGGTTATTAAAAAAAAATTCTGCCAAATGTTAGCATGAATGTGAAATTCGGGGAATCTCGTGACATCCTTGTTGACCAAACTCATGATAGTTGTCAGGAATATTGCGGATCGACTGAAGTGATGTGTGATAAATGAAAAAATTGATATTTGTGATCGATATTTTGTATATCGATATTTAACATGACGATATATTGCAGTATCGATACTTAATATATGAATATCGAAATTTTGATACAATGTATACACAGTAAGGAGAAAATTAGATAGAAGAATATTTTGTAACAAGAAGTTTCACTTATATGTTTATTTATATAATAGAATGTATGCAATATTGATCTCAATGTATAGTAATGCATAAGTTAATAAATAGTTATGTAAACGTAAATTAGATATAAGCTAAGATATAAGCAACTAGTATAGATTCTAAATACTCCTCGTAATGGATTCATGTCCAAAAAAATTGAAATATTAAATATAAAACAAATATTTGAATAAATAGTCAATTTTTTACTGAACTTCACTTCTAATTTAATTGTACGTATTGATATCAATAATATCGATACTTTATTCCTAATTGATGTATATCGATACTTTGGGTATCGATACGTATCGACACCAAATATCGATACAATTCAGAAACATGCCCATCACTATTTCCAATTGATGTATATCGATACTTTGGTTATCGATACGTATCGATACCAAATATCAATACAATTCAGAAATATGCCCATCACTATTCCCAACTGATGTATATCGATACTTTGGTTATCGATACAATTCAGAAATATGCCCATCACTAATCGACTGCCTCCCACTTCCTGATGATCGACGAATCAGGATATGTCTCTACTGATTGCTCTAATTACCTTCGGTACAGATATTGCCTGAAAATGTGTATAAATCGTCGTCATAGTCTGAGCGCCTAAGAAACCCGCGAAAAGGAAATAAATACTTTCTAACCGTCAACGATTTATATTATTTTCCTTCGGAATGTCCCAACGCAAAGTCCCGACAGGCATTCCGAGAATTGATTTGATTATCGTTATCCGTTCATTTTCACTCTGAACGCGTGGAAAAATCTGAAACGACTGCTTTTGCAATAGCTCGCGGCTCGTCGCGACCAGTGAAACAGTAGCCCACGGTGGTGCAGGCTTACGTTGGCGCTTTTCTGACAAAGATCGTTTCGGCGCAGGTGGTCAGAAGCGAGCGTTGCACGTGGCTGGTGCATGTGCACTACCGTCGGATCGAGTTAGACTGGAGTAAGCGCGATTTCTGCGGCTCGGTACCGTGATAAGCGGTACAGTCTCGGACACTCTTGCACCGCAATCTATCGGACGATGACGTAGGGAGATGCTTTTCTGGCCGCAATTGCGCTTATCTCGAGCAATACGCCTGGCGAAATTTTTCTACCGTCCGTTTCCGAACCGTCCGCGATACTTTTATATTCGCTGGAAACGCGTGCTATTGCGTTCGCTTAACGGGCGATTCTCCGAACCGCGGCCTCGTATTTATATCTCTCCATCGCGATTTTGCGAAATCCTACGTGCACGCGTTGTAATGTTGACGATCTTTGTGTTTCGCGTTGCACGCAAATATCCGCGAGCCTTGCCAAAATTTCCCGCGCTCTCCGATGGACCGGCAGAAAATTTCGCGAAGCCTCTTTTCCATTTCTGTTAGAGAAATTTATTTCATTCCACTGTTTCCGCCGATTAAGGATCATTATCTTTTACGTTCACAATAATTGGCAAGGAAATTTCAACAATTTTTTCTATTCGATTACAATATGTTCACATGGTAATAAAATGTTATTTAATGCTCTTCAGTCGGTTAGTTATGACGTGATTTATGTAAGCAGCGTATTTGCATACCGCTTTCCAAATATTATTTAAGCCACTTCAACTTGGCAAACGTTTCTTCAAATTATATAGATAATCGTGGATGTGCTATTCGTCCAATTCCCTTGGAGAAGGAAAACAAGTAGTTCCAAGGGCTGTGTTTCTGAATAACCCCATCAAAATTGAGAACTCAGGTTCGGTATATAACCTAAATTGACTACAAGAAACCGAATAAAGTTGGTTTCAGAGCTGGATGTCTTACGGTTTTCGAAATATCGTGGTAAGGTTAGATTAGATTAAGTTAGGTTCTGTGTATGCGCAACAGCGCATGCGCAGCATCGCATAGCGCAAGCGCAGTATCGAATAGCGCATACGTAGTCCCAAAATTGTACAAAAATTTCTTACCACGATATTTCAAAAACGATAAGACATCCAGGTCTGAAACCAATTTTAATTGGTTCCTGGTGGTCAATTTAGGTTATATACCAAACCTGAGTTCTCAATTTCGATGGGGCCATTCGGAAACTCATCCATTCCTAGTAATTAAAGAATCGAGGAGCGGACGAAAGTTGGATCCACCGGGACATTGATCGATTTTAATCGTGCCGCGACTCGCTTAAGGAACGATTAATGAAACCTTGACTCCGTCGAATCTGATAAGGCTCCCACAGCGCACAACGATCCCTGTAATTAATGTAAATGGTGCCTTAAACTGCATGATGTTGCTTCGTTTCCTCTGCGCCGAGGCCTGCTGAATTTACATACCCGCGTGCGAGCACACTCGCGCGGAATTCCCAATAAAACGTCAGCGAGAACGAGAGATTAGACGGCTGAGACTTGTTGGCTCAGGTGGACGTTGATTTACTCCTTTTCTCATCTTTCCTCGTTTTATTTTCGCCGCTGCGATTTGTCTTCGCTTCGAAACAAACTCTCAGCTCGGAAGAAAGAAGTTTCTGCTCGAATGCGGACAATTAGTCGCGGTGAACGCCGCGCAGGATACGTTGCGCCAGGAAGCTGATACTCGATCTTCCGATCAGAATTCCTTGCCAAAGGTCTCTTTTATTTATCATCCTTGCCTCTGTTGTTTTGTATTCGCATTAATTGCACGGTTTTCCTTGAACCTTCCGAAGCGTTGGCGCGAATTGATCGTTATGTAAAGCGCGCGCTTTGATCGAAAAGTTGCCGAGGACAGTGCCGAGAGGTCATCGCGAGATCACCGAAGAAGATTCGTCAAGGATCTCGCAGTGATTGCGTAACGAGGAGAGGGAACAATCGAATAAGGAGACGAAACAGTGGTTACTACCATCGGGGAGGATTCGGCAGTCTGGAGGATTTTTCGCCTCTTTTTCAACGCTTGTGCAGGACCTTCGAGCACCCACGCGTTCTCACGCCTGCCTACGCAGCCCGTGCTCCTTTTTATTCGAAGCAACGACTATTAATAGAGGCTGCTGTTCTCGCCGTTTGAAACTTTGCGTTTTCGGGGCTGAAAGCGACCGCTTCGAGCCGGGGAAAAAACGTACGGTCCGCGGCCGAGTTTCTGGCTTCCTTCCACGGTGTTCAACTTCGCTTTTGTTCGATTTATTCTTTGCCCGCGTTGCATCGAAGAAAGGGTGCGTCCGAATAGGAGACATAATAAAGCAACGGGGCGAAGATTCGATAAGGTAAAACGAAGGCAGCGGTCTGTTTCCTTTCTCTAACGAACGGCCGGCTGTCACTTAATTGACAGCTCTTGTAGATCGAAACTTTTGCTCGCTAGGCTTCGTTATTTTCGGCGCATCTCGCTAGTTGGCCTATCGATACATTGGCAACCGTCCAAATGGGATAAGCCCTGACGTATCCCCCCGTGAAAGCAATTTCGTTCTTGTGTACATTTCACGTGGCTTCGCTCCGACCGTATTACACCGTGTAAATTATGCCAATATAATTCAGATTCTTCGAATCGTGCTGCCGTACAATCCGTTATAAACGAAACGATGAATTTATTAGATCATCGCGAGAATCTCGGCCATTTTTCATATCGATGCGTCGGGTTGGAAAAATAAAAATTTCAATCTCGCCGGGATCGTAATTTTTCAAGCGAGGTGCAACAGGAAATTTCGACTTCTGAGATTCGGAAAATGGCACGTCGGCCTGTTTTCAACGGCCGATGTAAATGTTTATCGGTCGATCGCCAATAAAAACAACAGACACCGTGGCGAGCTTTCAGCGACTTCCTGTTGGCCACCGTCTGACGAACTCTGATTTTAAACCGTCGAAAATTAAATAGTGGACCGGTCTGTATTTTTTATTTTTCTCAGCCAACCCTGATTGACTTTTGACACCGAAACGAGATCTTAATTGAACTGCAATTTGTCAGGCTGTCCGTGACCCAAGATACCGTGAAGCGATTTGAAAAATTCGGCATTAATAATTTTAACTCGCCCTCCGATTACTTCTTTTTCTCCTTCGTTTTCGAATTTTAATTGGGACACGATGGCGCCGCAGTTTACACAGTTTACGTAGCCAATCCGAGCGTTATAGTTTCAAGGACATTTTTCACGATAAATATTGCAGCAGAAAGAAGATAGAATATTTTATTACCATCGTCTTGTGTAACGTTTAATCTAGAATTATTCTCCGGGCAAACAAAGAATGTTTATTGATAAGGTTATCGCTTCGCTTTACGCTTCGCTGATCAATCGTTACACAAGAAGACAAGTGTATAAATCAATGAAGTTGTCTCTGATAAACAAGTCAAATAAGTACCACTCCAATTTGTACGTACATAGAACGTTGAAACTATGTCAAAATTTTTTTAATAGACGATAATAAATAGGGGCGAAGTTCGTGGGAGGCGCAGAGAAAAAGGATGAGAGAAGACAGGAAGTGGCGGAAAAGATAAGGTTTGACCGTTTGGCGCCGGCAAGTGAATCACCGTTTTGCGAAATAAATCTGCAGACACGGCGACACGATTC